TTGTTAAGGATTAATTGAACTGAGTTCTTGTGTTAAGGATTAACTGCACTTTACGTATAATTTATTTATTATTGAATGATTATTTGTACTTTGAGTATAATTGATTTGCTTTTGAGGATTATTTGTAATAACTTGTTTATTTATTTGTACTTTATGAATTTACTTCTGTGTCGAGGGTATTTTCGAGTAGGGCAAACTTCCGCCTAGGAAATTCTTACTTCTGCTTCCCATTAAGCAATCTCACGGCGTTGCAGTTATTGTTATTTGGTTTTCGTTGTTGCTTTTGGTGCTCCTTCTACAATTTTTTATATTGTTTATGGTTTTTGATTAATCATCGTGCGCTCCTCCGTTTTTGAATTTCTCAATCAATAGCTTCTTTTCATATTTTGTTGTTTGTTTTGATTACCTCTCTGGTTGGGCTGAGAGTGTGTGTGTCTGTTTTTTTAAGGGAAATTGCAGTGAGGCAAACCACGATTCCCATGCATAAAAACATTGCACTCAAGTGTTGAACGAGAATTCCATGAATGGCTGACTGTTTATCTAAAATGCCAAGATCAACGCGACGGGAAAAGCTACTTGAAAGTGCCCCAAGTGCTGAGCTTTAATTTCCTGTGTTTTCCCATCAAAACTAAACCAAACCTTATTTTTTGTTGGGGCGTCTGGTGACTAATCCACGCTTGTCTGGTCTGCATATAGTAGATATATATATATATATGTATATCCACCCTGTCGGCCAAAATAGAGTCATAAATAACTGGTGGCGCCCCCTCCTTTCGATAGTGCTGCACTTCTTCGCATGTGTCACGCATTTGAAGCCGCATTCATTTAGCCATAATCCCGGCAAATGCTCAAGTCGAGCAACCCCATTAAAAGAGCCAGACTGGCAACCCTCCGTAATTATTGAACCACATTTTGGCATCAGATGCGCACGTGCCACAGTCAAAAGCTAAACGTGACGCATGCCCCGCTCTCCATAGCCCGTTATTCGAGTGCCATAAATGCAACAATTAAGTTAGTAATAATAATAGCGAGAACAACAAAATATAACTCGTAGTGCAGTAAATCAATTTTATTGATTTTTATCTAGCATTATAAATTATTCAATTTGTATGTGGCCCCAAAACTGCGACAATTTGCTGCGGCACAAACCTACACACCTACACAACTTGCAACACAAAACCAATACGTTTGAGTTGGCACCTCAACAACGTAGGACGTTCATGTAAATTTATACATTTTACGCATTACTTCTTATAGAAGTGCTGTTTTTGAGCATCATTTGCAATGTTATTTTGTTGCATAATATGAGGGGAAATCACTAACCAAAATATAGCCAAATTTAATAGATTTTATTTGATTTTTTGTTGACTTTTTTTATATTGTAAATGTAATTTGATTTATTTTTCATTTGAGTTAAAAGCTGAACCTTATTAATTGATTTTCACATATTGTAATAATTTCTTAATTACTGAAAAAATAATGAAGAGCTTTGCAAACAATCGAAGAAGAATGAATGTATACTGAATACCCTTCATGTAAGAGCTTGCACAGTTGACTGGCTAAGCATGTGTCTTGGCCTGGCTTGTTTACTCATGTGGCAAGCTTTAGCCATCATTAATACAATGAGGCTTACAGACAAAAGCCAGACGATCCATTAATATGCGTCATACGAGGGACGGTTCTGCTGTTTAGCCCATCCCGAGTCTCTGGTCCCTGGTCCCTGGTCGTGGGAGTCAACAACCTAAGCTGAGACACCTTAAAAGTATATTGGGTATTGCAGTGCAGAAAGCGAGAATATCTATGGCTACACTTCAGTTACTCGAGTGGTCATCATCATCATCGTCATCGCCACCATCATCATCATCATTATCAGTCGTAGACGTAGTCGTCTTTGCTTAATTGAAAATCCACTCAATTTACGACTGTAACAACAACAAATGAAACATTTAAACAGCAAGCAAGCTTCAAGCTCGACTTGATTGAGTCAGGTCAAAAGAATTTAAATGGACGCACTATGTAAGCCCAAGCAGCTCTCAAACGGAAGCCTGAGCATGCATATTTCAACGATTCAACTTCGTTCTTCTCTCCACTGCACTTCTCTACTCTTCTCTCGACTCGTTGTTGACATTTGCATAAGTTGCGTCTTCAAGTGGATTTTGGGGCGTTGGTCATAAAGAAAAGAACGTGCCTAAGCTGAGCCACGAGTGGATTGTCAATTGTTGTTTCCCTGGTCAGCAATTACCTAACAGCAACTACAATAATTACAATTGAAAGCAGCACACCCAGCAAATGCCAGGCAAACAATGTATTGACTCAGGAAACGTACAATTTGCGAAATGACAATTTGGTTTTGGTTATTTTTTCTTCTTTTTGGCTTAAATGGGGAAAGGGTTCAACAACTTTTATGCTTAAGGAACTTGAAACTCTTCTGATTTGAGCTCTCTGATTCGAAAGAGCTAATGATAATGATAATGATGATTTGCGAAAAAGTATGCAACCGATTAAAAAAATGTATATCATATAAAGAAAATAAATATATACATTTAGCGACGTGAAAATCTTTTATTCGTATTTTCTTCAAGTGATGGAAAATATTTACATAACCCAAAGAAATTTTTGCAAAAAGAATATTTAATTATATACCTAACATATAATATGTAGATACATCAAAGTCTAACAATTCTATACATTTAACATTTTTCAGTAACTGTAGTTACTTTTGCAAGACCCTTTTTAATGTTCTCTAAAATTGCAAATATTAGGTTTCTTTGAGAAACAATCTGTTGACAATGGAATTGGTCTCTAAAAAAATCTTCATTCGAATATTTAAATGTCTGCAAAGGTATGTAATTTTCAACAAACCGAAGATAACTCTTCCTTTCTGTAACCAGCAGGTAATTATTTTAAATTCAAATTCTTTTGGCAACTGCTAGTTACATTTTTTGCTGTATTTTTTGGCAATAATTGAGACTGTAATTGGTAGCAGATAAATAATGTACGTGGATGACTCGTTTGTATCCACTTAAACGCAATTATCATTACCTCACAGACAAGCTGATGTGTCATTGTTGTACTTAATTGTGCGCCAAATAACATAAGCAATAGAAATAATACGCAACCACAAAAGCAACGACTTGGTTGGCAACGAGCTACCCATAAAAGAGTTGACAATTGGCTAGAATGGATATGGCCAGCAGTTAAGGTGCTGACCTTATGAAGAACACCATATTAAGCCATGTTGCATGCATAAAAGATATAAAAAAAAAATGTTTAATGATGTATATATATTTATATATATATATGAATGCTTGCTATAAACACACGAAAAAAAGAATTGAGCATTATTTTACAGTGGCCGCGAAATGCAATGGAACGAAACAAAAAAAAAGCATAAAAAGAAAGTTTAAATGTATACGAAACAAAAAATAAAGAAATAAATAAGATAAACGCGGCACAATAAGAGTAAAAGTGGCACGCAATTCCGCCAGAATGTATATATTTAAAATCGATTTTTTGTTGAACGTTGCATGGCCAAAACACTCGCCAACTCAACAAAAGGCAATTGGTTGGCCAACTACTACGTGAGTGAAGGTAACTTTCAAGATTTGCATGTAAAAAATGCAGAAACCCCTGAGTAACAAAAAATAGAAAACTAAAGCTAGCGCCTTCGTATCAGAATAAGTACGTGAGATTTTGATAAACCTGTCGACCTGATAAACTCAACTTTAAACACTAAACGGTGACACACACCACAACACATATTAGAGTAAAAGACAAAAGGTGGAGCAAAAAAAAAAAACTATCTTTGCTGATAACTAAAGTGCCGACCAAGCTGAGGCCAAGTGTTTGCTCAAGCACAATCCTAAGAGCGACTGAGAATGACTGTGACTGAGACACCAACTGTGACTGAAGAGCACGTGTCCTTTGACAATGGACATGGGAAGGGGAACAGGAGCAGGAGCAGGAGCAGGCACGCGGCTGGATGATAGAGAAAAAGACGAGCACTCATGAAGCAGTCAAACAGTAAGCTTTAAAGCGTATCTCACTACTACATATTTATTTGACAAATCCTTGTCAAAAATGTTGACTCATTTTACATTGTTACATTCTCAGATCTATTATTTACTTTTTTCATTTCAAATTTGAATTGAATTGCAATTATTTAATTGTTAACTCATTGGACATTTTTATACACCCCGATTTATTATTTCACATTTTCATTTATTCTTTAATTTTTATTTTTATTAAAACTAAAACTTTTAAATCTTCCAATTTAAGCTGGATGTTTTGTGCTTTTAACTTTTTAGTGTTTTCTTATTGGATTATCTTCAACATTATTATGCCGAAGCTCAGTTACAAATAGTGACAAATAAGCGAAAATCTTACTTTTCAAAGATCTCGTTTCACTTGCCATAAAATGGTTATATGATAACTAACAAAATACAAAATTGCAGCAAGTTAATAAAAAAAATGGTATTTTACTTCTTCAACTTGTTTTTTAGCTTTTGTGTATTCAAAGAACGAGATGAAGGAGCAGCAGCAGCAGCAGCACCAGAAGATCAACAAATGGAAGTTGGTTTTACAAATTCAAGGTTGAATTCGACACGAGAATCTCTTTTCACACTGGTTGCATGTTAATTTAGTGAAATACAAGTTTTGTGCTTCTGTTGTGTTCCTTCAAGTAACCTATAACTAACGGTGGTTGTTGCACGTTGTTGAGTTTTACTTTGCAAAGCTTTCGGTTTGGATTATTTGCAATAGCTGCTCGCACAGTTTCGCACCACTGTGCACAAGCTTTCTGAACTTGATTGGTAACTTGTTTTTTTTTCTATTTATTTCGTTTTATTCATGTTGCCTTTTTTTTGCGTCAGACTGAATTTCGATTAGGTTCTACACGCTCTACACAACTTTCAATGGAAATAAATTAAATGTAAATATATAATGCATATATATGTATTTATATATACATATAAATGTACTGGGAGAGTTGGCTTACTCACCTTTTGACTCCGCGTTGTCAGCTGTGACGAGAACGATGTCTTGTTGCAAGCATATGTTGAGCAATAGCAACAACAGGGCAAACGGCAACTGCAACGGCAGCCGTTGTTGCTGCAACTGTAAATTTAAATGGGAAAGCAGCCAAGGCATTTTCCTACGTCTCGAAATCTTAGGAATCCAGAGCAATTGCAATAACGTTGTCGTTATTTGTAGTTGTTGTTTTTGTTTTTGTTGTGTGGCAGCGGTAATAGTAAAATTTGTTGTTATTATCGTCTCGTGCAGCAGGCAAATGGGGTGACATCACTTCCACAACTTGCAACCTCCACTTCCCGTGTCAGCAGTAGTAGCAGCAGCTTATCAAGCAGGAGCAGCAAACAACCGATGACTTAAAAACTGACATTATTTATTTGCCGCATTTGATGAGAATTAAAAACAGGATGCGGAGCAAGAACAGCAACAACAACGAGAACAGCAGGCACTTTTGTACACACAGACACACGCACGCACACACCTACATTCTTACTCCCGGCACTGTTGAGTGTAAACAAAAGAAAAGCTGATATCTTTATTTGCGTATACAAAATTATAACGGCATTGACGTATGTGTCTCTTCTATTGGTTCCTCTTCTTCTTTTTCTTCTCTGCTGTTATTTCGGTCACTTTTGTTGTTATTTTTTTTTGCAGCTAGCTATTGGAATTTGATAAGAATTCGGCAAGTGTTATTTACAAAAATAATTCAATTAACTAATTTATGCTTGCAATTTGCATTTTTTGGCAATAATTCAATTTGGGTTTAACACACGAGCACAAGCACAGACACACAATCAACCTTGCAGAGATACACATACTTATAAGCTCCAAAACACAGCCGCGCTACACGCTGACACAACAACAAATTGGATGAAAAGCACCCGCGCAACACTCCTCTCACGGCGTCAATTCAATAGAAACTAAGCATAAACAGCAGACAACAGCCCAATCCAGGGCTGATAAGCAGATATCGATACATCGAGTTATCGCTCCTGTTAAATAACATGAACTGTTGCTATTTGTGCAGCGCTGTTAAACTCATATTGTAATTTTGCTGGTAGCAATTAGCTTTGTGTTAACTAGTGTCTGCGCGGGAAATTGAAAGCTTTTTTTTTGATTCAGAATACGAATTATTCTATTTTTTATATAGTTGAAAAAAAAACATGTGCTTCAATTTGTAGTTTTTGTTCTTTAATTACAGTGAATTACAATTTAAAAATATGCTTAAATATAGACAATAAAATACTTGAATATACGACTTACACATATAGGATAAGCAAAACTATAATTCTAAAAAATCTGTACATTTAGGCTAAGAAAAAGCTGAACTAGTTATGCTTGCCATTAAGGCGATCTTGGATTTGCTGAAGACTCAGCCCCTTCGTTTCCATGACGACAAACAGGACAAAGAAGAAGGCCACCACACAGAAAAAGGCAAAAAGCCAAAATGCATAATATGAGCCGAGAGCATCTAGTGCCGGATAATAGCGCGTGACCAGGAAGCCAAGAGTCCAACAGGTGCTGGCTACAACAGATGAGGCAGCCGATTTGATATTCGCCGGGAACATCTCACCCAGCACTGCCCACGGAAGGGGACCAAAGCCCGTGCAGTAGACGATGTTGTAGAGTATCAAGGCGGGCACTGGCAACCAGACCACACTGGATATATCACCCACCACCAGTTGCATGTAGAAAAAGGCACCCAAGGCGGCCAGACCCACGCTCATTACGCTGGCCGAGATCAGGAGCAGCACCTTTCTGCCCAGACGATCTGCAACGATGGGCGTCAATCCCGATGCGCTAACCTGAACACAGCCAATGATAATCGTGGCCACGGCTGGATTGAGACCCGTATTGGCGCTGGCGAAGATCGACTGGCTGTTGAAGAGCACCACATTGATGCCAGACAGCTGCTGGAAGCAGATGAGTCCGCCACAAATGAGCAACGCCTTGCGATTACTGGGATTTTGGATTAGATCCATCACTGTGCCCTTGCTGGACATCGCCTCCTCTACATTGGCCTGAATCAGAGTCATCTCATCGTGGACACCCTCGGCGCTCTGCCCACGCAGGAACTGCAGCGAGCGCATTGCGTCCGTCTTGCGACCCTTGCCCGCCAAATAGTACGGACTCTCCGGCATGAAGAAGAACACCGTATTCGAGATGAGGGGCAGCACAATGCAGCACCATTGCAGCGCCTGATAGGAGACAAATGGTCCAATTGCATAATCATACAGAATCCCAGCTGTTCAGAGAGAAACAGAGAGAGATAAGAGAGATTAGCAAAGACTCAGAAAATAAATCGCCCTCAAATGAAAATCGCCCTAAAAAATATAAATTTATAGAACTTATTTCTAAATATAAGGAAAAAAGATTCTAAGAGTCTAAAAATACTAATGCCTAACACTCTGGAAATTATGCACATTAATACAGAAAAATCAGTTCTGAAATTTAGATGAGCAAGTCCTAGTTTTTAGAAAATCGCAACCATAAATTCTAGAAATTTACTTTCTTAAAATGTAGGTCGCTTTTCGTCTCTTATTTTTTCTGTTTAACTACTTACCAACGATGAAGAGCTGCATGAGTGATCCTGTGGCACCACGGACATTATCCGTGGATATCTCACCCACATACATGGGCTGCACGGTCATCACGAAGCCAACGCCGAAACCCTGGACTAGTCGGGACAGATATAGGATCCACACCTCGGTGGCGACCATGTTGAGCAGAAAGGCGGCCACAAAGAATACACTGCTCGAGAGCAGCACCCATTTCCTGCCAATGCGATCCGCCAGCGGACCAGCCACAAAGGGTGCCACCAAAGCACCAATTGCAATCAGCGAGGATATCCACGCATCCTCATCAGCCGTTATCGGACGATCCAGAGGAGAATCCGAGGTATCAGCGCTCTTCAGTTTCGGTCCAATGGGCGAGGTCCAACCGAGGCAGGTGCCCACCACAAAGGCAGACAAGTTGGCTAAAAATAATTGTGAATTATTATTATTAATATTGGTTAGTCAAGTTGAGAATTGGGAATTCACCTGCTACGGCAGCCAAAAAGATGCGACCAGTTTTCACCGGCTCCATGTCGCGAGATAATCCGTCGCTTATCTGGAAGGAGCTTACTTCACTGTAAGTAGGCACATCTCGCTTGTCGCTTATTGCTGGCATTTGGCTTGCTCACGTGTAGCAGCTGCAAGATTTTCAAATTGAGAGACAACTCTTTAATTACGCTTTTAATAAAGAGAAGACAATCGCCTGGAATGTAAATTCTGATGATTGTGAAAGCTAATTGCCAGGCAAAAAATGTTGTCACAATTGTCCATTTTTCTCTTTTTGTTATTTACTCCTACATTTTCTAAAAATTTATTTTTGGATTAAGAAACGCAAATGCAGTCGATTATTAAAATTGCCAGAGCAGTTCAGAGATTTGCCTATCTATTCTATATTTATAATTTTATGGATTGGATTAAGCACTTCAGACCATTTTACGTTTTACTATTCTTTATTATATTTTTTTTTCTTTTATATTAAATTTTTAATTTAATTTATCTCTGCTAAACTTAAATAGATAAGAAGTAAGTCAAAAGTCTTCTTAAATGTTTGCCACAAACTTTTGTATCCTGTATATTTTTTCATATTTTCGTTATTTACTTATATTTTCTGCGAAAATATATTTTTATTTGAATATTTTTAATCTTGTCTATCTGTTAATGTATACTGTTGCAAATTTGAATATTTTTATTTTATATTAAATGGTGTTTTTATTTTTATTTTGTTATGAATAAAATGCAAATGCGGAAAAATAATTGTAAAAACAAATTTTTTGGTTTTCTCTTCGATCAACTTTTAAATAACTTTCACTAAATATATGTAAAAATTACAATTTTTCACAGCACTTCGTGTTTAACTGAGAATAGATTTTACCGTCGCTAGGCAGAAGCATTTATTTCGAGCAATGCAGGAATTTACCATCCAGTATTAGTACTTTTAACTGGTAAGCTGCTCATAAATTTATACTTTCAAATAAAAATTAACATTTGTTAATCGCAAAGAGTAGAAAATACCATCTTCCAACTTGGACTGTGCTTGATAAGGTACGCATCAGCACTAAATTTGATGATAGGTTTAGTGGCATTGCGTATACGCCCCGTCGACGCTCAAACCAATTACGAACGAGGCAAGCGAGAATAAATGTAACAAAAAACCGACTCAGTATGGCGAAGTTATTTACGGAAATAACTCTATGGATGCTTTTTTACACAAATCAGATGTTCAATGTGTTTGTCTGCCATACAATTAATTAATTTAATGAATGCCATTAAATTGAAATAAATATAAAAAAGACAAGTAAACAAAATAAATTATATTCGTTTGATTAATAAAAGTCGTAACACTTGAGCGAAAATTGTGTGAAAATATGCACATTACTTTCAGAGAGTTTAGTAATGGGCCAAATGGTGCAAATTATAAAATTATTGTAAAAACTGATAATCATTATAGTTATTTGTCACTCATTTGACACATTTTCGTATAATCACTAATTAAATCAATGGTTTGCTTAAGCGTCAGCTAAAAAGTTCACTCCAACTAAACTCAGCATGATATATTTCTTAAAACATGGTTTAACTTTTGTCACATCCTTACATGAAATTGTAGAAAGAATTCACTAAAAATATATTTGTAAATATATTTATATTTATATATATAATATATATATTTGTATCAGCGAAACGAAGATTAAACGAAATCCGAACCGTAAGCTTTAAGCCTGAGAATTGAAATGCGCTCGCTCAAAGCGATGCGTTTAAATTTAAAGACTTTTTGCAGTGCCAATTGAAAATCTTAAGTACATATGAAATAAATAATGCTCACCGGCATTACACTCAGATAAAAATTCGACATACTCATGGCTTTATTCTGAAAGTATATTTCTAAAATTAAATGTCGTGTCTTGCTAAAAGACTGGGTTTTCCAGGTTTAGGTTATAAATTCATATAATTTAATTTGACTAACCTTAAAACTTGCAATCAAGAAAATCTTTCTAGTTTTCAGGGCGATTTTTTTTCCGAGTGTACAAAATCACTGAGACACTAAGAGGGCATTATCTTATCAGCAGCGCTCTGCCGGCACAGAAAAATCTATGGCACTCAATGTGGAATCGATGCAACCACTACTACTGGGAATTGTCTTTGAAATACATTATTAGCTGTTACAAAAAAGTGCGCCACTTGTGCATTTGCACTTGAATAGTGTGCCCCAAGTGATAAGACGGCTGCGGCTATTTTCCTCCAATCTCAATTTGTGTTTACAGACCCCTCCGTACTCCCCCCATGCCACTTCAGCCGAAAGTCGCCAGTTCGTTGAGAGCATGTTAATACATTTGTGTACTATTCGCCCAATGCAGGTGACACTTATTATTAGTTGTATTAGCTATCAAATTTTAGCCCGACTTCTTGTACAATTATGACTTATTGTTTTTATGTCATTTCCGTTAATTGTTTTCGTGGCATTCTCCGAAACACTTGTGACATCTAACGGATCTGTTGATATAATATTATTCACAACCCTTCATGAATGTGTGTTATTATATGTTTGTTATGGTTAAGTTCCGGTTAGAAGTTTCCTAATTTAAAAAATGTTATAACTTAGAGCTATTAAATCCTTTGCTGGCAAATACGAAGCTTTTTTATCCCATCGAACAACAAACTATGATATGGATACTTGGCAATGAACGTTTCTCTAGACACTGTAGATGGTCAACATGTAATAGTCTCCAATGCTCATCCAAAGTAGATTATAAAGTTCGATTTTGAACTACATTGTTTAAAATTTATTCAACCAAAAAATATTTATCGACTATCTCAATCATTTCCTATGTGAAAATCTGTTAGCAACATTGTTTGTTTTTTTTATTTATTGTAATCGAGAAAATGTGTGACAATCAAAAAGTAATACGTAATTAATCAAAATCAAATAATACATGGTGAATACATAGTATTATTGTTAGTATATCAGCAGTGGCACATTGACACAAATTGGTAATCATCATGTAACTGAACCTATCAATAAGTTGCCCACATGGACGACCGAATATTACGACGTGTCTTCCTGCTCCAAAATATGGTATTAATCATCATAATTGTAAGCATGTATTGACAAAACAAGTGCGCATATATAGATTATATATGGATAGATAAATACCAATACAGATGGATAGAGAGCGATAATGTCAAATGACTGCCCAATATCAAATAATAACCACCAGTGACGTCAAAAAGCACTTGGACTGACAACAAGAGTAAAATAGTTGGGCACTTTGTAAACTATTGCTATTAGCGTCATCGATGCAAATATATCGTAATAAGTTTTACTACTTATCCTAATCTCAAATTATATATTATTATGAGAGGTATTTGTCTAAGATAAAAAGGCACAATCTGAATATTTTGTATAATTTTTAAAAATTATTGATCGCTATTTTGCTTCAATATGGACTTTTATACACGATTTAACTTTCGGATGAATAGATTTGTACACAGATTTCAGATGCATTTACAGTCGTATATTCCGGGTATTAAATCCTCACAGATAAGCAAAGATATCTCAAGAAACCTTTACTTTGCGAGTGGCTCAATTATGTATAAAATACAACAATAATTCCAAGTTTAGTTCCAAATAAATAGACACCTTTCGCCATTACGACAAATCAAAACTAATGGCAATCCTAATAGTCAGGCCAGCACTTGATCATGGCCCATATATTCAAGCAACACACTTAAGCCAAACAATTCAAATTCAGGTTGTTGTTTATTATGGATGGTGATAATACTGATATCGGAACAACCGTTCACACGCAAATTATAAACTTACTTAAAGTAGTTCACCGTATTTAAACAGCACTCAACTGACGACAAACATTTCCATAGTTAATCAAAAACAATTTAAAATACTTAAATCACTCACATGATGGGCTTTACAACTACACAACAATACATATATGTATATATATTTGTAACTATAATTAATCTATAGTTTATATTACTATCACAGTTTACTCACCCATTTTGCCAAATACGATCAATTGGCACACCGAATACAATAATTTCAAGCTTAAGATTGTTAAAATTTACGTGAATATTTGATGGGATTAAGTTTGAATATCGTCCGGATATAGCACGTTAACACTTAAGATCTGGAAGAACTGTCCTCTGTCGTTGTCGGAAAACGAATGCGAGAATTCTAAACGATTTTGCGACTCTACTTAAAATGCACAACGAAATTGAAGCCGAGTCTTTATGACTGTCGCATCCAGAGCTCGTATTTAGTAGTAAGTAGATAATAAGCATAGCAATAAATACGATTCTATATATCTGTATATATGTATATAGATATATGTGTATATGTATGCATTCGCGATTGTTTTATATCGTATTGTTGCAAAATACGCAGATTGTTGAACTGAACTGCGCTTTAGATAACGTGACTTTTTGTGCAATTTAAACAAACTGGTAAAACAAATCGAAACAAGCTATAAAATATTCAATTGAGCCTAGTGCTAAATTATAACAATGCAAATACACAAAAAATATATATGTAAAACCAATTAAAACAGTCGTGAAATTTTAATTAGATTCGATTCGGCTTAGTTCCGCCCCCAAAATTCGTTGTACAACTTTTAATTTTGCTTTTGCGAGACGGCGCTCGAAAAGTATCTCTTTGAGGAAGTCAATTCATATGCGACACATGTATGCAACATATCTGACATATGCGACAACTTGCCGTGTGGGCATTGACTTATTTAGTCGGTGTCGCAAACGAGACCCGTAAAATTCTCAAGTGGCATACACGTGCGTTGTAAATAATCTGTCTAATAAAGAAATCAACTTAATTTCCGTACATTCAAATTTGGCGCAATACTTATGATATCAACTCGATTTTTAAAACTGATCATGAATAAATTGACATTATGGATTTGGAGATTGTCTTTGATAATATCCAAATAATTGAAATGCTTGTTTGTTTACAAAAATGATCTTTAAATATATATTTGCATTATCAGCGCTGCGAATCAGAATTAATATCACAACAATATAAATAAACATCAAAAGTAATTTTTTCTTTCTTTTTGGAAAAGATCCGGTTTTGCATTAAAGTTCGGTTCGGCTGTGCGACAAATTTCTGAGATATATATTTAAATGTTTATAAATTTGCGTTTTAATTGAACTAATTTTTTATTAAGTTAGTGATTCATTTGTCTATATATATATGTGATTATATTTCAAATATTAATTGCGCTGCGACTTGCTGTTAAAGGCACATTGATAAATCTTTGGAGAATATACATGTATCCCTGATCGAATTTAGTCAGCTACAAAATATAAAAGATTACCCTAGATTAAATCTGCAACTAATTTCTGAAACACGTACCTAAAAGTTGTCAAGCCTTTATAAAATAAAGCTTAAATTTAATAAGCTAAACACAACATAAATTCAAATGATGTTGGCTTATGGCACTATTAAAACATATGTGTACTTAAGCTTGCTAAACGAAAAGAGTAAGTTTCTTATTAAATATTGTAAGGTTAATTGTAAGTCAGCGTGGGTTGAGTTAAATTAAAAGCTTAACCAGCTCATTAGTCAACGATATTTGACAATTGCATTCCTGTCGCATTAGATACATTTGCTAGTTTAGAATTTAAGCTCAAGTGCTAAATAAATCAATCAATTTATTTGCCAGACACTCAAGCAACATTTCCACTAATCAGCCTTATACAAACGGTATCCAATGAGCCGTTATTTGCTGACAATATTTTTTGTTGGCTTTAATGGAATTACAACAATTACAACAACCTGTTGCACATGTTAGCAAGCAATCGCTTTTGGTCTTGAGTTCGGTGGAAGGGGCACATCCAAATAGAGTTTCCTGAAATTCGATAGCGACAAACAGGAAAGACAAAAACGCCATTAAATATTTTTGCATATCAAACAGTAATTGAAAAGTGGAACAACAACAACGGCAACAATTGAGGCTACCTGGCATGGCATACAAACAATTTGCGTCTGTGCGTCAATCTATCAATTGGGCAACCTTGCCAATGCCCGAAGGCCAAGTGCAGGGCCAACGGGAAGCTGCCTCTGATATGTAATCAAAAAACGGCGCCAAATGTGGGCGTGGCCAGATCATGACATGATTACATACCAAATTTCATCTGACAGCCGCTGCTGATTAGCTGCAAAATTTGAGGGGCGTTCCCTGCGGTGGATTCAGCAAATCCATTCAATGGGTTATCAGGCAGGTCAATGCAGCGACTGAGTTGGCTGATTATAGTAATTTAGTTGTTATTATCAATATACATTCAGTATTCATATTTATATATATACATAAATATATACATTTATTTTTAACACATGTCTTTACAGTCGCACACTTAACATATACACATTTCAAAATACACATAAAAACAAGCCAAAAATAGCTAAGAGATATTTCTCTTCATTGACTTAATTAGCCGAACACAAAGAGAGATATATTTGCCAAAGATAGGTACAGTCGAACTTCGCTAAATTAAATTATTTAAGCATTAAAATCAAGTTGACCTCGAATTTCGCCAACAAAACTTTGGTTCCATTTTAAATATAATTTATTCCAATTGTGAACACAAATAAGTATTTCATACAGTAACTATGAATTATGACTATGACTATGTATTAATGTTTACTTTATAATACTCTTTGCAAGGGTATAATAACAAAGTTTCTATAATTTTTTAGTTTTTTTTCTTTTGTGGCGTTGGAGAAGTTCGACTATAGTTGGCTACTTAAAACATATTTGAAAACTATACTATTTAAATCATTTATGTTAATTGTTGTACATTTTGCTTTACACACTGCGTATGCGTAATGTTGCTTAATTTCCTTTCTTCTCTTTTGGTCTTACTTAACGTGTACAATCTCTCGCAACACTTTGCCCTAATGCCCACTGAGCCACGTTTGTATTTGGCCGGCGGTCTTGCCCTTGGTTTCGACCACAGAGAGAGCCACATATACTGTGGCCAGGGCCATGCAGCCAGCAAAGAACCAGAAGGTCATATCGGAGCCCCAGTCGGTGATCATTAGGCCAAAACACTTCGTTACCACAAACACGCACAGCCAATTAACCATCACTGTGAGTGCCACTGCCGTGGCCCGGACATCGGGCAGAAAGAGCTCGCCCATCATCAGCCAGGGTATGGGGCCGTAGCCCACCGAGAACGTAATGATAAAGAGCACCATGCAGAGCAGTGGCAGCCAGCCAATGTGCGACACATCCTTGCCGCTCTCCTTCATGTCAAAGTAGGCGCCCAATATGGCCAGGCAAATGGTCATCACGGTGCTGCTGAACAGCAACAGAATCTTACGGCCGGCCCGCTCGATCAGCAGCGATGAAGTCAACGTCATAATCACCTGCACCACGCCCACAATAATGGAGCAAACGGAGGCATTCAAGCTGCTGCCGGCCGACTTGAATATTGACTCCGTGTAGAAGATGACCGCATTGATACCTGAGAACTGCTGGAAGAACATCAGCATCATGGAGATAATCAGACCATTGCGTGCACCACGATTCGTGAACAGGTCCAGAAACGAGGCATCCGTACCAGCCTGATCCAAATCATTCTGTATCACCTGAATGGCGCTACGAGAATCACAGTAACGACCCCACAGCCACTTGAGCGACAAAGCAGCATCTGCACGACGACCCTGCAGGTGATCAATAATTAAATGTAATAGAAAATTTATGGATATGTGTATATAGAAAGGAAGAGGACTATTCATTTGCTTACCTTCTTCAGGAGATAAACAGGCGTCTCTGGCAGCATGATCATGCCCACAAACAGAACAATGGGTACCACCAAGCACATCATGCTCAGAGCACTCCACGAGACCAAGGCGCCCACTACATAAATAAAGAGTATGCCCACAGTGAGCAGCAGCTGAAACAGTGTGCCCAGAGTGCCACGAATGCTCGTCTCAGCTATTTCCGAGATGTACATTGGAGCAACCACACAAAAGCTACCAGTCGAGATGCCTAAATAGATAGATTCAAAGATAATTCAGCTTACGATCAGCTATCGTAGAGTATATAGAATAACTCACCAATTAGAAAGCGACCAAAGTACAGCCAACCAGCTGATTTGGCAAAGCTGATCGATAGCCAGGCCAATATGAAAGGTACATCCATGAGCATCGCCGTATAGCGTCTGCCAATTGCATCGGCTATATAGCCCGTTGGCAGGGCGCCCAAGAAGGCGCCAATGGCCAGCAGAGAACTCACCCATGTCTCTGCAAGTAAACAATTGAACAGTAGTTAAAACTCTGAAAATCAAAGAATCAAACTGAATTTTAGAAATTGGCCATACTTTTTGGCTCCCAGTTGTTCTCATGTTATTATTCAAAAACTACATTTCTCAAAATAAATATTGTAACTTTCTAAAGAGCAGGACTCGCATTTCTTTATTCTGTTGTGTATACTACGTAGACGATTTCTTTATTATTGTCAATTAGAAAGGAATTTTTCTGAAAATTGGGGTTGGATTTCTACTTTTTAGAAATGCATTTCTTAATAATAGCAAATATTTAAAAAATAAAAATAAAATGGAGGTTTTCTAGAATCAAGGACGATTTATGTTTTGTATAGACTATCTTTTTTTATAGACATGACGATACTTACGTTGAGCGACAGTTAGTTGGAGTTGGTCATCGTGTGGCACACTGACCACTGTGACATTAGCTGTGGTGTTCGTTGTTGCGCTGGTGGTATTGGGACTAACACTGATTTGTGGCAGCACCGGACTGGTCCAGGCTAAGGCCGTGCCGGCAGCAACTGCACCCAGACAAACTGTAATCATTTTATACAAATTAAGCAAAAATTGAATTTGTCTTCTCAGCCCAAAACTTACCAACAAGTGCGGCCAGATATTGACGTGACTTTGAAGTCTTCACGACACCATCCTGCAGCGGATCGTAGAGCATTGGATTGTGTGCCGAGAGATCCGTATCCTCCTCGCTGACAGTCTGTGAGGAAAAAAGCAAAAGAGCTATTTGTTAATTATTTACATCGATAATTACATCCAAATTTATTGATTGTTGGAAAAAACTGTAGAATTGCCTATTTGATCGTGTGCGGATCATGATTCAAGAATACTCAAAATGTAAAGAGCATTCTAGTTAAGAGAGAGAAAGAGCTTGATACGAAATACCTTGTACTGTGATTGATGAAATCTTTAGTGAAATGAAAATGCTGTATATTTAAAATTGTGGCTTTTATTATTGATAATTTGAACTTTTATTTCAAATTTGGTGTCTAATAGTCTTTGAGAACATACAGAGAGTTCAAGTCTGATCTGATCAGGAATATATCTACTCTATTGCTATTGATTATCGATTTCTAAGATAAACTATTCAATTTATTGATCACATGAAATTAACTTAAACTTGTATATAACAATTTTTATCTCTTTTAATCTCTGAGATCATTCAGACGAATAAATATACATATATACATATACAAAGAAGCTGACTTCGATTCCTGCTACATACGTCTGCACAATTTCATACTACCCTTTCTAACCATTTTTAATGGGCATACAAAAAGTATAAAAATACTAAAGTGTAAATGAAAATGTAAAAGCGAACAAGATGAATCTATTTGTGTGTGTATTTATTTATAAAAAGGAGGTGTGTGCAGCCGCATGTTGCCATACTTGTTGACTTTACCTGCCACCAACGTGCCATGGCACGTACTACTTTATCCGAGTCCATTGCAAACCCACTCAGATATTGCAAAAATATGCGTTATATAAACACTATCGGAAGACGCACCAAAACACACACTATGCGTTTTCGAATATTATTTATGTAGTCTCGACCTTTATTTCACTTATTTCAATATAAGCTCATTAATTATTTAGAAAATACTTTTGAATACATATATTCGGTACGCAGATATATAAACTTATATTATTCGCTTATTTTATTTGGGGCGGCGTAGCGATTGTTTTGATCCGTGTGGTCAACACAGTTGGAGACGACTGCTTTGGCGACTCTTCGAAAAGCACATTTTCTTCTCGAATCTTGAAATAGTGGCGCTTTTATTTTGGCTGGTACTCTTTCGATACTCTGGCTAGGGCTGTGTTGTGTTCGTCGAGAAATTCGCAACATCAGTGATTATACAGTGAGCTAATAAGTAAGTTTGGATAATAATATGGACAGGATTCTAATTATCTTGCATCTCTTATAAAAAAAAGCTAGAAGATTATCCAATTTGATATTCTACAATGTGCAATTTTGTTCGCACCTTTGAAGATTTCGTGTAAATATATATATATTTATACATGTCATATAAAAAGTATACGATTTAAGATGCTCGATATTTGAGTGTACTTCTATAAAATACTGTTTTCATAACTTTTGACTAAGTGTATTTAATCTTCGGCACTCCACTCATATAATTAGTAACATTTTATTGTTATGCCAGCGTTTTACGCGCATTTAAATGCAAAACATTTCGTATTTTACGTCAGACACAATAAAGCGGTGCAGTGTGGATTTAGTTGAGTTACATTTCGAATGTCCAAAGGGGAAAGAAAGCAACAACAACACGCTGATCTAAAAAAACACACCTAAATCAAAGTATGCAATTCTTTTGCTAATACCTACTGATTAAAATTATCTAAAAGGAACAAATAAAAGTTGTTAAAATGAAACACAGATGAACTATAAAATAATTATCAGAGTTAAAACTCTCAGATAGTACGAAAGATACTCTAGAAACGATTTCATAACAAACATGGGCAAATGTTATGCATACGCCCCCAAATCCAACAAAATAAATGCTTCCTGTAGTGCGCCTTACTTGAATTTCTAAATGCATTTTGCGTGTGTGTCTATAAAAAATTGCTTGGCCGTTGCACTTGCCAAAAATGCCGTTCGACGACATCCAAATGCGTCAGGTAGAAGCATTTTAAATCATACAAAATAATTTAAACTAAATGCACAATACACACTTGCACATGTATCTATGTATTATATCTATATACTATATACGTATGTATGAGCTTGTACGTACGAATATAAAAATAACTAGAAATTGTGTTGATCAGTTTCGCTTGAAAGCAAAAAACTATAAATAATATTTATCATTTTATCTGTACAGTAAAATTATCCTGCGTCTCAAAAAAACACAAATTGTTAGCAATAATTAATTGCTTGATCGATAAACTTTATTACACTTATACTATATAGATAAGTTGGAAATTTACTAAATATATATTTCCTTAAAACGGTCTACGGTCTACATATTAAATGGATATTAAGCTTCTTATTTATACACAATATAATTTAAATAAAATACGCTTTCTACAATAAAAGAGTATTTTTGAATGTACTTTTGAAATTCAAATCCTTTTGGGAATGCAACAAGCGCTTTAAATATTAACAAAACGCAATGTGCAATTATAAAATATGTGCTTCTCTGCTGCACGAGCGTAATTGTAATTTAATGGCGTCAAATGCAATTCAAATGACAAATAAACCTTTCGCCAATCACCCACCCAACAACAACAACAACAGCATCAACAACAGGTTGGATAGAGAAAGGGAGCGAGTGCGAGTGGGACAGAGGTGCACTTGCCGAGCAAAGAGACGGAAACGAAGAGGAAGATAGACACACCCACCCAGGGCAATAGAGGCGCATCACATGCTAATTAGTATTTTGTGCAGTTTGCTTTGCTCTGTTTACTATTTGCCGATTCCCCTTTACCGATCCACAATGTCAAGTGCAATCATCGGCATTTGGCGCCGCCAAGCTTCGTGCGCTGCTCGATTTGGCACGAAGGCAGCAACGCTCGTTAGTCGTGTGACTGCATCCGTGTGTGTGTTTGACTGTCCGTGTGTGTGTGTGTGTGTGTGTGTGCGGTTGTGGTCTGGAAAGGCTTGTTTAGAAAAATGTGAGTGCTCTCGCCAACGATTAGAGCAGCCCATAAATTTAAGGTGCAAGCAAGAATTGCTGTTTCTATTGCTGTTTTAGCCGAAGGTGTGTATACGATTATTAAATGTGCACACTTACAGTGGCTCACAGCTTAATTGGTTCAGTCGTAAAAAACAAGTACAATAGGTTAAAAGCTTTTAACATTGTAAAGGATATTTATCAATCAATAAGTGTCTACTAATAATTGACAGTTGGACTAGTTGCTCATATTTTATCTTTGACGCTTTATATCAAAACTGTATATGTATATTTAAATTAACTTCTTTGTTTTGCTGTTTTCGACTTCGACCAGATGGGACCAAGTTACATGCCACGAGGCAGTCTAAATGAAATATTTATTGCGGATGCATTGGCCTTGATATGTCGAAAAGGTCGTGTAAATATTATTGTTGCTTCGCAAATTGCTCGATAGCTCGCACAGACGAGATAAACATGTATTAAACATGTCCGGTCTGAAAACATAAACAATAAGCGATAGGCTTCCAAGCGAAAATAATAATATATAATAAATATAAAGCATATATTATTTTGATCCGTTCTTTTTTCTCCGATAAAATAAACTTATTGAAATTTTTGTCACTGCTTGACAAAATACGAATCAGATGTGTATATGCGATAATCAAAGTACCTGAGAATCTACAAGTGAAAATCTGAATCATAAATCGTCATGCTCAAAGTCTTCAGTAAGCCATTATCAAAAGCAGTAACCTCTCACGTGAACTTGTGGATTGGGTTTGCTTCTTAAGTTGTTGCTTTTTTATTGGCTTGGACGTAGTACTCGCGTTGTATTCGTAAATTACAGCCAAAAATTTCAACATCGAGATAAGATATTTGATCCCCAGTTGAGAACTAATGAGTAATAAATTAGCCCACAGATAGTGAACTATTTATTTAAAATTAGAGTTTAAATTACTATGCTGGACATTAGGTTGTAGCCATTTCCTAAGCATTAGTATTTGCCTATGTATCTTAAATCATGTATATTAATAATTTTATCTAAAACAACCAAAGTAGCATAGCATACTTTTTGGTACAGATAAGTTAAAATTCTAAAATTAACATTTGTAAATTTTAATTATTCCAAAGTTATTGCACTGGTCCAACACATTTTTAGATAGCACGAATTTCGAATTTTATTTTAAATTTCACTTAAGTGTTTGAGATAAAACATATTTAGTGAATTTTAACAAGATGCGCTTACCTTTTTGATATCCGCAACCATATTGTAATGAATTTATTGTTCAAATATTGGAAGAATTGCTCAAATTGCTTAAGGTCGATAAATGCTTGTTATTTATTTAACAAACCTATATATGGCTATTATTTTGAATATCAATTTTTTTTTAAGTATCGAAACGTGTGAATGGACGCACTGAGCACCCGAGTAAAACTGAAATTCAAAAAGCAAAGGAAACGCGCTTAGCATCAGCGCTAAAAGCAAACGCTTTCGACGTCGCAGCAGAGCGTCGACAGCGACGCCGTATCGCCAACTGATATGTGCACTCAGCGAAAAAAAATAGTAGAAAACTATCTACTCAAAAGTTCGAGTTTATTTCCAAGGACTATTTCGGAGTAAATTTTTATAAATACAATATTTTTGAGTCTAAACCAGTTCATATAACAGACTCAAAATGGTATAATTTGTAAGTCTTACAATGCCTATTTTCAAGTATTCTTGATGGAACTTTCTCCTCCTTTAATAAACCTCAATACTAATATATTTCCGGGTAAAATCTCTTCTTTTATTCCAGAGGTTCAGTGATTTGGCTATCTTTTCTTTATATTATATCTTACTCTTTGTCTCTTCTTATCGCCCTTTTTTTCTTTCCTTATTACTAAGCTACTAACGCTTAACCATTTGTGGTCCAATTTGTTTTTTTTTTCTTGGACCATTTTACATATTACTACCCCAAGATTTATTTATTATATTTTTTCCTTACTTTTTAGCTAAATTGTTTCCATTAAATTTTGTATAATTTTATTCGCAACTTTAATTTCAAATTTTATAATATATTATTATTTATAAAACCTTTTGAACTACTTTTTCAATCAAACCATGAAATGCATGCAAAATTAAACTTTAATACCTTAAATCAAGTTTATTTAAATCAAGTTCTTAAAAGCATCTGTGGCTAAAGCCTTGGATCATTTTCAAATTGATCGAGCTGTACTGTGATCTTAAATCTAAATCAATTGACGTTTTGCGTTGCGTATGAGTGATTTTTTTTTTTATTAGTCATCAATATGAAGAGCGAAGCTCTCTTTGCTCATAGTTCGTCTGTACACGGTAAAGCTAGCGTTAGATCTCTGAAGTTGATCAAAGTGAACCTGAAACTTCTCCAGGAGCCGCTGGAAGCCTCTCTCCAACGCCGCCGACTTAACATCGCTCAGCTTTTCGAGCACATACGCAATCAGAGCCTCAATCAGCATCTGCAGGCGAAGAGTGAAAGTTTCACATGCAATATATTTATATATGTATTTTCACTTTTGACTAGCGTACCTTCATATGCATTGGCAAGACACGGCAGCGTTCGTGCGTCATGTGATTGTCACTTAACATTGCTTGGAATAAGACCGGATCGTTCTGATCGATGACGGCGCTAATGAATCGCATAAAGGCCAAGGAATGGCCATGCAAACGGTGTAGATCAAGTTTGCCCTCAATGCGAAAATGGTCAAATGTTGTATAATTCTCCATAAGAAAACTATGGGATGACAGTTAGTTTAGCCTTTGGCATACGTTGTGCTTTTTGGCTTACGTAAAGTAAATTTCCTTTCCATAGCGACGTTCGAACGGTTTGATTAGCTTCCAGGCCTGCCTGAGTGCCAATCTCTCATTCAGTGGAAAGCCGCTCTCATCATAAACGGGGCCAACTATCAGCTTTGGCAACTTTATGGGAAATATGGTCGAAACATCGATACCACTTTCATCTTCTGATGACAATTTTGAATTGAGTGAGGTTTTCGAAGTATTCTCGGCCATGATGCAATTTAGTGCGTATATTTAATAAATTTATAATAAAAAAGAATACTAATGTGAAATAAAATAACATCTAACACCTATATAAATATCATATTTATTCACAATTGATTGAATACAATAAGCCTATGCTTTTTTGTACCTTAGTACTAAAAATAGGATATAAAATATTAAGCACCTGCAAATTTGTATACTGTATACAAATTTGTATATTTAAAGTAAACAAATACAATTTAACAAAATGTTTGTTTTTGCAATAGAACGATCATGAGTAGTGATTGTGAGAAATTTATAACAACACAAAGTTTATTGTCATTAAGCATACATATATAGTTGAAATTCTCAGAACCAGTAAATTTACAAGCCCAGCTGATCAACAATAATGGGTAGTTTTTCCAAATCAGCAACAATTTTCTGCATTGAATAGCGTTCGTTAGGATCAGGACTCCAACAGGCGGTCATCAATTGTTTTATACCTTGCGTACATTGAATTTCCAACTCGTCGAACGATGGTCGTTCACCTAAGTTAACAAAAAGGTCATTAGTATTTGGTTATGCGAACTATTTAGTCGTACCTTTTGTCACTCTTTTGCATATCTCTAAGTCGGATAAATTTGCAAAGGGCGTTTTACGCGACAGCATTTCCCACATGGCTATGTCCCAACTATAAACATCACATTTATCGGTGAACGTCGAACCATTAATGTACTAATAGAATCATGTAATTTAGATAACAATTGTACAAATATTAAGTGGAAATAAAAACCTGTGGTGCCTTATAGGCGATTGGTGTCGGAATATTCGACGTCATTTTGGTAGCTATTTTTCTGACATATGTAAAATCAGAAATCTTTAGTTCCATACGTCTATTTTTCAGAAACATATTTTGCGGGCTTAAGTCGCGATGAACAACTTGTGGTGTCTGTGCATGCATATAGGCAAGAGCCTATTAGTTTGTGTAATGGGAAAATAATTAGCACTCTTCTATTTCGGAGATGTTTATGTTTGTAGTACAAACTTACTCTGGCACATTGGAGCGCCCAGTTAATCACATGCGCCTGATCATACTTTATTTGTTTTTGGCAGTGTATTAGGTCGTGTAGAGATCCGCCATCCATGTATTCCATAACAAAGTACACAAATTCATTATGGTATGAGATGCCATATAAAAATATGATATTCTCATGGTTCGCATTCTTCAGTTCCCTATATTCTCTCTCAACCTTCTCCGTTGCAGCAAGGTACTTCTTGGTAACAACTTGTTTGCCGTTCCATTTTCCTCTAACCACGTGGTTGAACTCACCGATTTTCTAAAATAGAAGTTTAATATTGATTAATTTGCAATCTTCTGAATTTTGAAACAATACGTACCTCACCAAATGTCAATTGATCAAAACTTATAGAATGATTCATTTTTTTTCGTTGATAATGTGAGAGATAAGCTACATACAAGAAAAATCATCGAATTTATAAGAATGTGTATAAATAAAAAAGTTATTCATTCGTTTATTTAAAAAAAATATATAAAATTGAATTATTTAGTTGAATCGTAGATTATTTTTCTAATTTATTAAACTCACGTTTACTTCAACACGGATTTTGCAGACTGCGGTTCGACAGTTGCGCCCCATTGGCGAAATGCTAAAACGAATATCGAATGTGCTTATCGATAACAACGATTGGTCACCTGTTACGAGACAGCCGAACACAGCTGAATTCGCAGCCAAAAAACGTAAACATGTCGACGCTGTCGAATCCATTTCGCACCGTCTTCCGCCTCCCGAGCCGGAATCAACGCATCAATTGGTTTCCCGGCCACATGACCAAGGGAATGCGACAGATACAACAGAAACTGCGCAATGTCGATTGCATTGTTGAGATTCACGACTCCCGCATACCGTTCGCCGGACGAAATTCACAATTCTTTGAGACGATTACAGGTGATGGAAATTGATGGGAATTGAGATTTAATGATGTACTTTACGTTAATTCCTCTATAGGCAATGGTGTCAAGCCACATATATTAGTGCTGAATAAAGTGGATCTCCTGGGGAAGAAGCAGCAGCGTTCAGTTCTCAAGCAGCTGCGAGCCCAACAGCCTGAATTGCGAAATATTCTATTCACCAATTGTAAGGATCAGCGTAATCATGGTGTCCTCGACATACTGCCGCTGGCCAGCAAACTGGTGGCAGAGAGCAGTCGTTTCAATCGAACCCAGAGTGCCGAGCACAACATTATGATTATCGGTGTGCCAAATGTGGGCAAAAGTTCCATTATCAATGTACTGAGAAATGTGCACCTAAAGAAGCGGAGTGCGGCCCGCGTTGGTGCTGAGGCCGGTGTGACGCGATCCGTTGGCGAGCGCATCAAAATCCAAGAGCAGCCACCCGTCTACATGATCGATACGCCCGGCATACTGCAGCCGTCCGTTACGGACGATGAGATGGGCATGAAACTGGCCCTCGTCGGCTGTTTACCGGATCACATCGTTGGCGAGGATTTGATCGCCGATTACCTCCTCTACTGGCTGAATCGTCACAGGCGGCTCGACTACGTGCAACTGCTGGGATTAAGCTCCGGTCCCAGCGATAATATCAGCGCCGTTCTCGCCGAATTTGCGCAGCGCGAGGGCATGTTCCACCGGGTCAAGCAATACGATGGTCAAGTGGAGATGATGACAAATCTCTTGGCTGCTGCCCGCCGATTCATCAGTTTCTTTCGCACAGGGCAGCTGGGCCCCATTAACCTTGACGCCGAATATAGCCATCAAAATTAAGTTTTATTTATTTTTGTAAATATAATTTATGTATTTAGTTGCAAAGTGGGTAAATCTTAATTATTCGACCATTGGTACATCGATGGCGATGTGACCGACGCCTGGAACCGGTATGGAATAGGATACGCCAACATTATCCAGCTCGGCTTCGACGGCATCCTGTTCGACGATGGGCAATTCGATTGGCACTTGTTTTGGCTCCATCTGCATCACCATCGATGGTAATGATTGTTCGCCCTCAACGCTGCAAATGGGGGGCTCCACTGCATCTGTGGGTGCGCTGCTGACGGCATAGCCAGTCTGAGCCGCAATTACGCGCAATTCCTCGGGTACGCCTTGCATGCGCTTGTCAATGTACGCGGTGTAGGGGGCGATCTTTTGATAGTATTCGATTAGCAGTTGCGGATCCTTCTCGGCAACCAGAACACTCGGCACCAAATCAAACTCTTCGCAATATTGCCAACGAACGAGGTACTTAGTATCGCCGGTGACATCGGTAGCGCCCATAATCTCGGCCAGCTCCAGGCCACGCTCGTAGCCGCGTGGTTTTTGTATTTCCTCGCATTTGGGCTTCTTTTCGCCACGTTTCTTTGACTTGGCCCGCGACTCTTCGAACTTTTGAATGAGTGCCGGGCAGTCGCAGTTCTCCTCCGGCTCCCAGGTGTTGTCCGCTGAGGTGTAGCCGCGCCATTTGATTAAATACTCCACTTTGCCATCGGCAGTGATTCGTTTGTCCACAATGCGCTCAACAACGAAATTCGATTCGTTCCTTACCATTGCTTATGTTTTTCTTTCTTATAACAAACAATGCTTTTGTGTATATGTAATTTAGTGATGTGTAAGGCACCAAACACGATATATCGATATATCGCTATATTCTGTTAGAGTGCAGTTCTGTTAAGCCCAGTTTACAGAGCGACGAAAAATGTCGCGACCGATAACCGAACGAATTTTGACGGTCGTTTAGAGACCGCAAAACTAAAATCCTCAATGTTAATTCATTGTTGACCTGTGTGGATTCTATGAACAACTGTTAGCGGTGTCAAAATAATGAACTTTGATGTATGTATTTTGAGTCCGGTTATCGGCAAACCACTACGGAAGCGGGAAGTGCATCGGAATGAAAATAGTCAATTATGAATGAAAAATTATTTGAATCTTCAAGAAAAAAGTGTATTTATAATCTATATAGCTATAAAATGGAGAAAATTAATTCATTAACTTTTCGCCTCTCAGCAAACCATTTTGCCTTTATATTCCACAAACAAAATAAATTTCAAATTTTGGTCTCGAAATTGTTCATCGATCTCTAAAGTGGCTTGAGCTTGTAAATTCAAATTTAGTGCTTAAAAAATTTAAATAAAAATGAGCTGGCATATAAAGCGCTTCAAATATAGGAGATGAGCTTAATTAACGATTTTCGATTAAAACCGAATCAATTTTACATGATCCGTGATTAAATCTACAATCGATGATTGTGTAAATGTCACTTTCCAAGCCGAATTGCACGTGTGTAATTAAATTAAATATCACTGCTCTGTCAAATGTTTATTATTAATTAAACAAATAATAACGATGGCCGAACAAGATAACTGCTGGCCGGATTGGGATCCCATGGCCCAGCACTATAATGATGAGAGCTGCAACAAATATGATAGCGTCAACGAAGGTGCTCATCGGAGCAATAGGCAAATTAACTTTCCATATTTGATTATCAAAAAGATGAATGCATTTATTACGGATAAATTGCTGAGAAATTTCTTTGGAGAGACCATTATTTATGACATCGAATTTCGCTCGGCATCTCGCGAATTTTTTGTTTATTTTCATAATATTGGGTAAGAATTTATTTGTGTATTTTTGACGAGAGAAATTCTAGTGTAATCTACGCTAGATGCGTTGAGGCGGCATGGACAAAAATTCGCCAGTTTCCAAATTATGTCCATTGTGTGAAGCGGCAACCAAGACAAAGTCAATCCGAACTACCCAATCTACTACACCAAACAGCAGAGACCGCTTTGGCTGTAAGTGAGCCCAACGCCATAGATTTGATATCACGCATTATTCAGTTGTCCACTGGCAACAAAGCGCACCCACAATTCTTCAAGTCTCCGCTTGTGATCAAGGCGGACTACACTGCCAGGAACTCGCTATTGGCCGTAAATGATCCCAGTCGACGCTATCTGAATGTTAAGTATGAGTTCGCGCTGGAGCGTCTCAGCCAGGATATTGTTGAGAAAGATCAGGCCGTGTTTCACTTTCGATGCGGGCGCTTGATAGTCACGTGAGTGGTCTAAACTTAAATCCGGGTATTTTTTTCAATGCTTACCCAATTTTTTTTGTGTAGTCCCCAACACCAGCTTGAGCCTGAATCGGCTGTTGGGGAATCAAAGCTGGCGCTGCAGATTGTACAAAAGTGTTTGGTCTGTGATTGCTATACGGACAACAGCTGCCGATTCTGTCAGATGCCCTTCTGCAATCCAGTCTGCTTTGATGCACTTGCCGCTGCCCACAAGCAGAGCTGTGCCAAAGGCATCAGTCCCCCAATAATTGATAATACGAATGATAAAATGTTGAGCAAACCAAAGCTGCCACCATCTGGCAGCCATGTCAAAATCACTGCCTTTGAGCAGAATAATGTTTTGTATGTGCGCTCAGCGAAGGTAAAGGACGAGGTGGCCTACTACAAGCTGATCTCCGATGTGATGATGAGTGGCAAGGCGGCGTCTCCGCTCCGTAAGTTGCCACAGTGCGGTCAGTTGGTCATCTATAAATTCGATAAGCAAATTGTGCGAGCCATGGTCCTGAATGTCGACAATCCGCAAGCCATTTGCTTGGTCAGCGTGGATTATGGTAGCGTAGAGATTACCACACTGGAGACCCTGTACGAGTGCAGCGCCTATTTGGCATCCTTGCCCCGCCATGCGGTGCCTGTGCTGCTGCGTGGAGTACCCCGTCGCTATATGGGCCCTAATGTGCGCCACATGCTCTACGAACTGGACGAAACGTACACCTTTGTGCTGAAGTACTCGCAGCGTGAGTTTGACTTTGAGATGGGCATGCAACGCGTGATCCTCATCGAGAGCGAAATGAATCGCAGCTTGAATCGTTTGCTCAAAACAATTGTGTCGCCAGTGGAGCCATCACTCTCAGACCCTGGCTACGAAGAGAATGTAAGTGTTAATTGAAAGGGGAACAGACAGCGGAATACCAGCTGTAGCGACTTATATTTATCCGTGTAATTGTTGGATATCCTATTATAAGCAACTTCTACATTTTGTTGATTGACTGGGTTTTTAACAAATCCCACCAATGAAAATATTGAAAACATTTATTTTACAATTTTTAAACAATCAAAATTTGTTTAAAATGTAAAAAGCTATTTTAAAATATGCAACAGCTTCACCACAGCATTTATACTAATTTGAATGTTTATTCTGAATTTTTATTTGCAGTATCTGCAGCACGTGCATTTGCCTACGGGGCATGGCATCGATTTGGTCATCATGGACAATACGTTCATCAAATTTGGGGTGATCCACTGCACCACATTGGATTTTGCCTACGAGGTAACACAGATGCAGCGCGACATACAGTTCTATGGGGAATCCATTGCCAAATGTGCATACTATGCACCGCCGTAAGTGCAACTTTGAATTGGTTCACAAATGTGTATATTATAATTCGACATTTTTCTTTGTAGTAAAAATGATTTGTGCATTGCCAAGTATCAGGGAAAATGGTGCCGTGGCCTGTGCATGGAACTGGTGGGCGATGGATATCCGAGCATTTTGTTCATCGACTACGGCAATATTGTACCAGTTCATGTCGATGACATACGTCCGTACCCGCCGCAATTTACATTCGCCATACTGACCACCGAATATGAACTGATTGGCCTGCCAGCCGAGCCAAGCGATGAGCTGTTGACCGGCCTGGAAAAGCATCTGGCAATCGGTTCGATTGTCAACTGTGACGAAGTCATGTACAATGAGCTGGATAACAATTATTCGCTGCGCATAAGCGCCGTACATGCGCTCATGAAGTAATATTAATCCTATTGAAACACTTGCCATTTTGTCTTAACCAAAAATAAGTATAATTTAAATAAATAAACAAAATAAAGTTGCCCAAATTGCAACGAATTTAACTCTGCTTGCTGAAGACGAAACTTAGATTGGGCAATTCATCACAGTAAAATGTTTCCTGGAAGCGGAAATAATTAGAAATAATTTCTATAGGTTATCGAGCTTTGTGTACCTTTAAAAATGCTTCGCTAAATGGTGGCTGCCATTGGTTCCAAGTTACAAGAGTCTGCAAGAGAAACGGAATTTTAAATTGTCATTTAAATAATTATTGAATTCACCCACATTTTGTCGAGCTGCAAGTAGCTCGTGTGTGGCATTCACATGCAGATTAAGTGAATCCGTGCAATCGACTAGGCCGAGTTCTTTTTGAAACTGACGCTCCTCCAAACAGTCAGCTGTGATTAACGTGTACATTTGTGCATTACCATCAGTTGCCAGTAATCTCATCGCCTCCTCTCTTCCCCTATAATTATAGAGTATCACATGTTTACAGCAGCTCAAGCGGACTGCTGGCAACACGCTAGTTAAGATTACGGCAACCATTGGCTCCTTGGCAGCCTCCATGCTGGGCGTATTGAATATAGCTGCCTGTATTTGGTCTTCAAGTTGAATGTGGGCTATTTGCCAGCATTGACAATAACCTTTGATGATGTCCAAGCACATCTGACTGTTTGCCACAATGACACATTTCTCTTTGTGTTCCACAACCAAATTGTCCAACAATAGATGCACAAACTCAAACTTGGCCGAGTCATATAGACCCATTTCCTGCCAGGGCGGTAAATGCGGCAGGAGCAACTCCGACACGAGTGGATCGCTCAACATGTGCTTGAGGAGAACCGGATGATCACAAATTTGTTCTGCTATTCCAACAATATGCGCTGATTCAGCGGGTAATTCCTAAAATTTTAGATTTTATATATAAGTATAAAAGTATATTTAAATTAAAAAAGTTGCCGACGAAGCAAACAAACTATTTCAGCCATTTCATACCGTGCATAAATCTTGGCAATGATCTGCCAGCAAGTGCAACGTCTGATATTGGAGTTCTGCTGGTGCCAGCATGCAAATATATTCGTTTAACCTGCAAAGAGGAGCAACTTCCTGGATGCTGCAGCTGGAGCTTTCTTTGAGGGATTTAGATTCAGGGGACAGCTTTGGCTTCTTTAACATATTCATCGGTCGTTGACATTTGCTGGCAGAGGAGGGGAGCAGACCATCAGATTCCTCCTGCTGGCGATACCAATTCTCAATTTCTTCTTTCCTTTGAGCGGTGCATTGCTCGACGGTGCTGAGCTCCTCCTGGATTTCGACATCCTTCAGGCCGAATTCTAACAACGCATCTATTTCCAATTTCTCCGGCTTCAGGCTAGTCAGAACGTCCAGCACCTTGCCGATTTCGTCTTTTAAAATTGCTTTAGCTGCAGTCACCTCCAGCGTTCCATTGCCTGTCCAGGTTTTATGTTTTTTGTTGGTCTGCTTGCGCCAGAGGATGAGAAAGATGCGTTTGTCCTTCAGCGGATTCTCACCTTCATCGTACTTGCGTGGCCTGAAATGTTTGAGGCATCCAGCTGTGCCCCACTGCATTTCCGAGGGCGCGTAAACTTTTTTCTCCACATTCAATTCACAAGCAGTGGCGCCCATTTTAGCTGCTCTGCGCACTGATGGCGCCTGGGAACGACGCATAACAGCGTTCTTCTTTGCCGCACAAATAAAATTAAAATTATGATAAGCCAGTTGCTGGATCACTTATCGACCACATCTCTTTGTGTTATCGATATTTGACTCATTTGGCACTGTTGGCGCGATTCTTTTCTATTTCTGAAATAATTACATTTATGGCAAAATATCAGGCGGAAATTTATTAATCTTGCGTAAGCTAATAGAAACAAACTTTTTCTTATATCGTTTTTATTCAATGAAAATAAACCGACTAGTCATTTAATATTAATTTCTGTATATTAAAGCACTAAAATCTGTTGCTCTTGTCTGAAGCATTGCCAGCGCAGAGTTTAAATCGTTGGCGCCAAAAATGAGACAAGTTATAGCAACAACAATTCACTGTAATGATTTAATAAATATGTATATACAAATGGTCTCTGTTGACAAGTAAGTCATAAGCCGTCAAACTCTTCCCTATCAAAAGTAGTTAAGCCTCCAGCTCTGACAACATAGTTTATCACGCAATTGCAACATGTTTGTTGCGAACTCACTTTAATTTAAAACCACGAAAAAATAACGGAATTCATTGTTGTTGTTGTTTTCGTGCTGCTGCATTGGCTTATTGCATACGCATATTCGCGCCTTCACTTGACGCCTAATGAAAAACCAAAAACCAGTTTCAGCTTTAAGAGTTTTCTTCCTCAAGCATGCGTTAGTCACACACACACATTGACATAGACCTGCAGCATTGCCAAGGTCGCTGTCATGAGAATAAACGCTTTTCATGCACATACATGCATACAATTAGAGATGTGTGTGTTTGTATGTTTGTATGCATGCGAGCATAATGCAAATCGAATTGTAAATGGAACGGAACTTTGAAATGCTGAGTATTTAAACTTGTGCACTCATTTTTCATAATTCGTCATGCGCATTTGGACACAATTAGTTAATTGGCAACAAAATCAATTGTTGTTGCAATCATAACTGTAAAACAATATTGTCAAGCGTCTAAGGCAGCATCAGCCTTAGAATTCAGCGCTTCCTCTACACTTCGCTAATTGGCATATAACGAAACAAATTATCTAAATAAATATATCTATATATACATGTCAGCATGGAAGTGAAACATCGTCATTCATTTAATTATTGAGGCAGTAAGGTCATTGAATTTCACATCTATTACAAAGTGAAAGCCGAAAAATCATTCTGAATTTTGTTAAATTAATATAAATAAAAACCATACAAATTGAATGATGCGCTTTGAGACTGGAGTGCGACAAACGTTATGCTAAAAATAAATAAATTATTGTCTCAAAATATGCAACGCACATGGGGGGTTGATGGACCTGGCATGAGACAAAGGCATAATTTAATTGTATAAATACATTTTTGACAACATTTAATATATCCCGTAATAAAGACAGGAAGCTAAAACTGACAGATAACTACTAACTTCTAACATTAAAACAGAACATTCATTCGATTTATGAACGATTTCAATATTTTGCTTAGATTGGAGAAAGAACTTCTCTTTACCATTCGCCTGAATACTAGCCATTGATTAATATGAACCATAGAAAATGACACGAAATGATTTTATGCTTTATTACAAGGCTAATTCTTTTTCTTTTAATATATATTTCAGAATGCTTAAAAATAATTAATTACTATGCAACACAAAATTAAAATAATTTAATACGTTTTAGCCCAGTTATAACACATAAATATAATTGAAGGTAATTGAAGACAATGTGATTTACGGATTTTTTCACCGATTACACGGCATTTTGAGCCCAAACCAGTAGCTGTTCCGGTTATGACACATTTCCAACAATTTACATTTTCGGCAAGTTAATGCTCCTGTTGCTGCGGTTTTGAACTCATTTGATAACTTCCTCAACAAATTTTGTAATTTTAATAAACTCGCACGTAAATTATGTGTAATTCTTTGAGTGAAATGCTTTATGAGTAAAGTTAATAATTGCTTGCGCGTGTAGAGTGATTAATGCACTTGTAGTACCCGACTGGATAAGTCAGCCAAACGATTATAAAGTTTAATTGGCAAATAGTTGAACTAATATATCATCAACTATTTTTAGCGCATTTAAATATCCATTAATAAGTAGTCGACGGCTCGGTCATCGGTCATGTGCAGACAAGTTTTGGGCCCAAAACACTTTTTGCGTCAGCGTCATCAATTTTTTCAATTCCTCAAAGTGGCAATAACCTCAGGCCGGGCCAGGGCAAGCTGAGGCCAATATATTTGCTTCAAATGATTGATAACTACTACCATTTCAATTAAGCTGGCAAAACTCAAAAGCAAAGCAAAAAAGAAACATATAAGCAACAAAAGAAAGCCAAAGAAGGCAAAGTACGCGAAGCAAGGCAATTTGTTAATTGTTTAGTTGATCAGCCACCAAATCAATGGCAATCGACAATTAAGAATGTTAATTATTCAACGGCTTTACAACAATTACCAATTGGCCAACTGAACTTGACCCCAACGGCAACTGAAGACAATGCAAAATACATCATTTATACACAAGTACAAAATAATATTTCAATTTGATTTGATTTTTGCGGTTCTCTGCCACTTGTTGCATCGCACAAAAAGAAGGCGATTTTGCGGCCGCCCCGCGTCCGACACCTGCTGACAAACTGAACTTGAACTTGGTATTTCAATTAGCCGGCTATTGCCAAGTCCACCATTTCTGCCCTCTCTCTATCTCCCTCTCTCTCTCTCTCTCTCTCTCCCTCTCTCTCTCTCTCTCTCTCTCTCCCTCTCTCTCTCTCTCTCTCTCTCTCTCTCTGTCTCTCTGTCTCTCTTTGTCCGACAACACATGGCTAGAAATACAACAAACGCATTGCTTGCATAACTGCGACAAGTGTGCAATTTGTATTTAATTGAGTGCATTAATTTCGAGGGCTGTTCATTCAGTTTTAGAGCTGTTCTTTGCATTTACAATAAAATAAAAATTTTAATTAATAGTATTAGAATAAAATCATAAAAATACCTTAGCTCAATAAAGCTGTTAAGATTGTTTTGTAATTTCTTTTTTATTTTATTCTAGATTCATAATGAATGTGCTCAAGAGATATTGACTGTAATGTATGTTCATTTAGTATTAGAGCTGTTCTTTTGGATTATCAAAAAAAAAACGAATTTTAATTAAAAATAAAATACAAAATTCAAGCATAGAATAAGATGATTCCAAGGTCTTGTCTTCTGCTACATAAAGTTGGCAAAGTTGTTTAGATTGCTTGTGTATTTTTTTATAAGCTTGAATATAATGTTTTGAACGGATGAAGCCTGTATTATATATACATGCTTATAGAATGTGATCGAAAATATTTAATTATTAAACAAAAAATGTATTTATTCTATTGATTTTGCTACTTCCCTTTTCTACAAGCACAAATTGAACTGAGCAGAAACTACAAATATAAACACACTTATTTGATGAAACATCCCTCGTGGGCAGTTATTTGATCAGCCAAAAAGGTTCTTAAATGTCAAGCGTGCTATGTGGCACATAATCAAGCAATAGGAACAGTAAAACAGCAAAACCTTCTATTTAGTGCTTCCGGCAGGCAATTCGTGCATTATTATTATGATTTTGCATATTGCCACATATTTAATCATAAACGTAAATTGTCATTTAAATCAAGTCAACAGCAGTTCGCTCTCTCGTCTTACTACGCGTGGCCAGAGCAGCAGCAGCAACAACAACAACAACAACGAGCAGTCAAACAAACGGACCAACAGGCCAACAATCACACAAAAGTTTCACGGTCAAAACGACAGAGGCGGAAGAAATTGCCAAAGCCTCAACTGCTGAAAATACAGCAGCATTGTTTTTGTTGCTGCTGCTGTGTTGTTGTTGTTGCTGCAATTGTTTTTCACCTGCAATCAAGCCAAGGTGTTTGTCAGCTTTCCTACTATTACATTTGAATTCGATTTGCATATGCAACCATCGAGACGTCGACTGATTGACCCGATTGAAGTGCAGCACTAGCTTGAAACTGGTTACCGGAAGGCACTCACTAGAAAGTTGCATTTATCTAATTTGCTTGCCATAGTCCGCCCAAGAACAACGACCATCACGTGTCGCACGTAGGCCAACAGCGATTGCACTCAAAGCTCAAAGGCGCTCGAGTGACAAAGAAGCCAACAGCAACAATAACAAAAAAAGCTCACTCACAAAAACGCAACAAACAAACAAAGCAAACGACGGCCACGTCGACGTCGGCAACGGCAACGGAGCACGCTTGCCATGCTTTATATAAAATCAACTGAGCATTTCTGTTGGAATTCATTAAACGTTTTACCGCACAGCTCGACGTACGTACGTACCATATACACACACGATCCGACGAGTCCGCGTTAGAGGCGTGCTCCCGCAACCAGGCATTACACACACTACACACACACACACACACACACACACTTTATTACTTTAAATATTCAGGCAGCTGTCAGGTGAACAGCATCCAGCTCGTTGTGTTATTTATTTTTGTATATTAGCCAAGAACGCGTTTGACTTTCAGTTTCATTTGAGTCGCGTGAACGCAAAGAAGATTTATTTCAAAATTAAGCATCAACAAATGCTAATGAGCTTTAAAATTTAAAAACAAACCAAAAATAACGAAATATTAAATAATATAAACAAACAAAATCGTGTGTCGTGTTGTTGTTAAGCAAAAATAATAATAATACAAAAAAAAGAAAAGTGCAGTGCCCAAAATAAATCATTAAAAGCGAATAAATTTTTGAAATATTTTGTTAACTAATTGCAGCTCAGCGCACAGCAAACATCTTACAAATACAAAAACAAAAAACCAACAAAATCAGCATGAAATTCGTAAGTACTACAATGCAAGAAAAAGTGTAAAAAGAAAATCAAAATTATTGCATTTTGTTTTTTATATTTTGCGTATGTGCAATTTTTGTTTGCCAAGCAAAAAAAAAGTTCGTTGCCTAAGTCTTTTGTTTAGTGACAATTTTCACAGCATTTACACTGATGCTCAGCTTAATGCGAATGCAATAGAAATAGCAATAGCATTGACAAGCACACACACCACCATTCACCAACTCAAATTGAGTCTACATATTTTTGGCTTTAAGGCTATTGTGGTATTCAGAATTTTTATTGGCCACGTGAATTTATGGCCAACTCTGTTGACTATTTTGCCAGTTGTCGTGTGTCAAGCATTTTGTCGGCATTAAAGACATGACAAAGCTACACCGCAAGCATATAGATACATATATTTATGTACATATGTGTGTTACTATTCATAATCGTATTTAAATATACTCACACAGAGATAAATATGCATATGCATATGTCTGTCTGTAACTGCCTATTAAGCTGTTAAGTCGCAGACAATGGACTTTGCCTGGGGGCGCGCCACATCTACAGCTCCATTCAACATCCAGGCCATAAATTGTACAGCATATGAAATACATACAGTATGTTATTATGCAGTCAAACACGCATTTAACAATTTCCGCCTAGCCAAAATGTAAGTGTAGGCTATAAGCATTCAATTTGCAGCATATACAACAATTACACGCAGAAAAAACCAACGCAAATAAGAGTGAGAGGGGAAGTTCAAGTTCATGTTGAAGGCCGCGGTCGCAGCAGACAACTAGCAGACACTTGTTTACAGATCAGGCAACAGCAGCAACGCAATCGCAAAAAAAGAAAAAAAATAACGTGCTTGGGCATGCGTTTTGCAACTTAATTGAAAAAGTGCGATATACACGCGACAATACACACACACACATGTGTGTGTGTATATGCCCCAAAGCCAGAGTCAGAGTCACAGTCAAAGTGACCAAAACTGGCGCTGCTGCTGACCAACTTCTTGGCCATTGCGTGTGGCTCGCAGCAACGTCATGAATGTGCATAAGTGTACATGAGTGTGCATGAGTGTGCATGAATGTGCGTGTGTACGTGCAACCATAAATTAAACAACTATGAAAAACGCCAGCGTTCAATTCATTAGAGTCACATGTTATGCAATTGCAACTTCTACTGCAGCCGGCACTCGACAGTCGGCAGTTGTCGTTTCATCCCAGCCTACATTTGTTGGGCACCTTGGGAACCGCACTCAGCCTGCTGGCAAATCGCATTCGATTAGGCTTGAACCATGTTAAAAAAAGAAAAAAAACAAACGAAAAAAAGAGATTTATTAATTGCTCGACAATCGCTTTAATTCATTGGCTTAATCGTCGTTGGCATCGCCATCAACTTGTCCTCGTCGTTGCATTTTACACGCTTTGCGTGTAGAAATTCAAATTAATTGCCATAAATTACAATTGCCTTGCGTTGCGCTTGGCTTCGTCCGCTTTGGCCCGTTTAGGCCAAATACACACACACACATGTCTATATGGTCTAATGAAGATGTCTCGCCGCAATGTGACACTTGCTCAATACACAAAGCACACTCTCAGCAATTGTCATGCATAATTGCCAGCCATCATTTGACTATGTGTGTGTGTATGTGTTTCTGAGCCAGGCTAAAAAGCGGGCTTTGCATGTACTTTATTTGAAATTCACAGTTGAATTCACACGCACACTACTTGCTTAGTTCTGAGTGCTTTTATTATGCTACTGCTTAATAAAATAATGCACATATTTAATGAACTTAATTAATACTTATTTGTGCGATATATTTACATATATTTAATATCTATATAATATATTTAATAATACAGAAGTACCAATTGTAACTTTCAATGACACCAGAATTAGAACGTCTTCATTTTCGAGAACCTTCATTCATTTTTTAAATGAAAATTGAAATTATTAAATTCATTCGGGTATTTTACATTTACACATTTAAGTTCTTTAATCAATCAATCTTTTAATCCAGTTAAGTTAATTTAAATTATTAAATTCAAAGCAAGCAAGCTTTTTTCAATTTCCGTGTAATTTTCGAATTTTTTCTTATATAGTTAATATTACTTTATTTAGTAGTTAACATAGTTAACGTGACTTTCTTTAGTTAATTTCATTGTTCCTAAAAACTCATGACGAATCCTCTGGGCAGTCATGGGTGACTCTCCTCCAAATACATTTGAAGCAATGGCATCCAGTACCCGTAGCCGTTACCATGTCATTTGATATCAGGATTCCCATCGGTCGCGAACAACGGTTTCTGTTTCGATTTTATTTATTTGTTTTTTCGTTATTTGAGGCTATTTTTATTACGATTCGGTTAGTGCGGTGCGATTAGCGATTTTCTGAAACGCGCAGCTGTCGCAATCAGAGCTGAAGCCATGTTCAAGCTAGTCAGTCACTCAGTCAGCCAGTCAGTTAGTCAGTCAGCCAGTCAGTGCGCATGGCAAGTGCCTGGCGTACACATGTTCCACATGTCCAGCCACAATTTGGAGAGTTCGTGGTGGTGGTGCTACCCACATGCGAGTGGTGCGCGTGTACTGTGGCTTGCAAAATAGTTATGTTAGATTTATCGTCCGAGCGGACTCGGGACGGGGCCAAACCATTACCATATTTATAAGGCATGCCAGAGACAGTCAGTGGGTCCATCAGTCCGTCAGTCGGTCAGTCAGACACAGTCGACAAGTGCGTTGTGTGTTGGTATTTTGTCATAGCTTAAGAGCTACAAATTTGTTACGAATTTTGTTGCAGCATGAACTTGAACTAATTTTGGGAGCAGCGACAGACGTCGCAGCAGCAGCAGCAGCAGCAACAACAGGAAAAGGAAAAGTGTTTCGATTCTCACGCTGACCAGTTTCGACAATTTTGCACTTCCTAAGCAACGAACTGTGGCAAATTGATGCTTGATAATTGCTTGAGCAATTGCGATCAGCGGGCAGCTGCTCACAGCCTCAAAGTCAGACACAATCTCAGGCCAGGCGCTGGCATCATTTCCAGCTATTAAACACAATTGAAAGTAATTTAAAGTTGTTGCTGTTGCTGTTGCTGTTGTTGATCTTGTTGTACCTACTAAATACAACGGACAGTCGACTCTCAATTCGACTTTCGGCTACAATCGACAAAGACATCCAGGCCAGGGGAGCCATGAGTCTGGAGCCAAAGCCAAAGCTAGAGCTCAATGCTTCCGTGTTGAAAGTCAATGCACAGTTGCTCAATCGAGCGTTAACCTGGCCAATATAAGCATCTGAAGGAGTTACTTGCTGCTGTTGCTGTTGTTGCTGTTGTTGCTGCTGATTGTGGGCGTTAACAATCATTAACAAGCGATAACAATGTCCAACTTATTTTCATTTTTGTAGCTGCGTAAACTTGAGCGCATTTCAATTGTTCAACATTCACTTTTGCAACTGTCCAGAGAAGTGCACATTAAACAAAATTTGTAATGCTTGCGCTTGGCAAATGACAATCCATTTAAATAAGATTAATTAACGCCCCAGCTGAACTGAACAGGCCTCATTTTCCATTTTTCTTTTGCACATGACTCATTTTTTATCCCATGCAAATTTTTTGCTTAAACCTGCGGGTATCGCACCATTTGCCCGGAACAACTAATTGAAAGTTCATTTCGAGTTTATTATACTTTTTTTTTTAAGTTTTGAAAATACCAGGCACTTCGGTTACCTGTTGGAATGGATTATTCAATATGTTTCTTTTGTACTTCAGCTTGTAAAGTAATAAAAATAATTTATTTTTACTACACATTTGAGCCAATCAAAATCTAAACGCCAATAAATGCCAGCGCAAAAATGAAAAATCTGATTGAAAAACAACTAAACATTTGTGCAAATTTGTGTGCTCACAGCCCAAATACCCTGTAAACGAAAATCATATAAAATTCAACTTAAGTTGCACATAAAATTAAAATTATCTCAAATAAGTTTAACAATTTAATTGAACTTTATTTATAGATTTTGGTATACAACTTTTTATGGATTTGGATCTTAACTTTTAAAATTGTAAATGAAAATTGAGTATAATTTGCAGCAATTGAAGTAATAATTTACACAGAAAATAGAACAATTCTTGAAATGAATTAATTATTGATTCTCCAAGGAGATTTTTCGATGAGTTATAGTACACCCATGAGCTCCCGTTTCCAGAGCATATAAATTCGCTGCTAACAAGGCACTGTTGTGGTTTCTTTTTTTTCTATTTGTTGCTCTTGTCCAGTTGTTGCTGTTAGTGTTTTTTTTTTATTTAGGCTTTTATGAGCTGGCACGGGCACGCTCACATGTTGCTGCACTTAATCATTGTTTGTGGGTGGGTGGGTTTTTCGCATAAGCCGCCGTTGGCCAACAGTCTACAGTTGCTGCTGCTGCTGCTGCTGTTGTTGCTGCTTTTGTTGCTGTTGCTGTTGTTCTTGTTTGTTGCCATGTTTGCCTAGCAAACTGCCAGGCATTCCAAGCGCCGCCCAATTGCGAAATCATATCTAAGGTCATTTGTTCAACTAATTTGCACCGGCTTCGATAAGGGCGGTGAGGGGTAAAGTGGATTAGAGCTGCCATATGGAATGATTGTAATTTCAATACAAACCGTTTTGTTCTCATGCCTCAGCGTCAAACAAATTAACTCACATTAGCGTGCTGCACGGTTTTCGAGTGGCAATTTCAGTACGGATTCCTTGCGGCTAGCCATAAAAAAACTACAAAAAAAAACTGAACCAAAAAAGTATCAAAGTACTGAGCTTAATTTATTTAATTTGCCTAAACGACTACTTTCAAAATCTGCTGCTACAATCACAACTGAGTAGTTGTCCACAACTATGCGTAGACTGACAAAATGAAATCTGTGAAAATGTGGTAGAAACGCAGCCTCCGGCCCGCAGCTGGCGACATTTTGACGGTTTACATGTGTAGCATGCCACAGTGTCCACACTAGCTTCCAGGGTGCGGCAGCTCCACTCAGCGAAAGGACGCCTAAGCAAGCTGCATAAACTACCCTTAAGACTTTATAAGCGCAAAAATATGTTGCTTATTGTAAACTTATTAAAACGGAGATCTCATTTATCTGAAATAATTTTGGTTTTTGCTTTTCTCATCATCTTTAATGAGTTTTATGCTCATGCAAATGAACTTCAAGACTTGCACAATATTTTTGCTTAGTGTAATCACTGTCAACACTACAAAAGGCTCGATTTCAATTCTCAATTTTGTAATGTTGATAATTGCATCCTCAAACCAAAACTCGTTTAAAATATGTAAATATCCAACTTCTGTTCTAGTTGGTAACTTGAATATAAACAATTATTTATCTCAGTGTAAACACAGCTAAATATTGATTTCCTTTACGTGGATTTCAAAAATGAAATGTTTCTTTTTTTTTGCACTTATTATGATGGATCAAAAGCTTACAACCTTATAGCCAAGAGTTTTGACAGCTGATCGCCTATTAAATACTCCCACACCACAAAGGTGTTATTAATCATGGTTTAAATGAGATCGTTTAATTCTCTGATAGCATATATGACAAATGCCATGTTGAGCTTCTAAGCCTGTAAACTCTAATGTGGCAGTAGACGGCGGGTCCGCGACTCGGAAGACAAATATGCAACAACAACAAAAGTAACAACAACAATCATGAATTAATTAAATTCATTTTCACAAGTTGGCGAAACTTTAAAGTCTAGACGTAGGCAACTGGTCGCCTTGTTTGCATATTTTTTTTTGTTTTTCTTTTTTGATTATTTACTTCCAAGACATTTTTCAGTGTTCGCTGGTATTGTTGTTGTTGTTCTTGTTTGCTATTGTCGTATGCATATTTTTGCTAATAGCAATTAGCGTTGTTGTTGTTGCTGTTGCTGTTCTTGTTAGAGCTGCTTGTGATTTTTTGTTACATGTAGGGTGCTCGTAAACACTTTGCAGCATATTAAATCATTTGCAGTAGCACAAAATCAACAACGAAATTTGCTTGCTTAGATTAACATGCTGGACAGCAAATGAAAAATGAGATTGCGCATACGCCCTGCAGTGCAATGCCGATTGCAGACTGCGGGCGCGGCCCATTAGGCAATTAATGATGCAAAAAGCTTTAAAAAGCCACAACGAAACCAAAGCATGGCAAAACCCCAACAATTACTCGGTAAATATGGATGAATGTGTGGGCTCAAATCCGATTACAGAATATAACAACTGCACACACTACGATTAGTATGCATTCGATGATGATGAGGCAGTTGTATTTTGAATTTTGGACTTTTTGCAAAACCAGTTCTAATAGATCTTTGCAGGCCCTATGATTAGTGTCCAGTGTGAGCCAATTGCGTGACGGCTTTAAATAAGACATTGGACGCAACACCCGCCACACTTTGTGGCACAGTTACCGAAGCTGCCAATTTCAGCGCCCCAGCCTGTCGACCATTCAATGAGAAAACAATAAATTCAAGCGCCTCGCGGACAGCCAGATATATTTATAACCACAAAGCCAATTTGCACAGCATGCTGCATTGGACCCATTGATGAATGCCGCCGCAAGCTTCCACAAGAGCTGGCCACAAAAATAAAAAGCAGACAGTTCGTTGCTCCTTAACGAGCTGCAGCTGAACGCTTATCACTGCATTAGATTCGATGCATGCGAATTGGGTCAGCGTTTTGTGAAATTGAAATTGGAAACTTAAGTGAAACTATATAGTTGGCAATTGTCATAAATTTGTTTCCTATTCTTATGCAATCGCCGCTAATTACACGTATCTCTCGCTCTGCATATGAAAAATGGCCAAAGAACCGCAACGGGCTATTGGCTATTGGCCATTGGCTCTCAGCACTTGAAACTTGGCCCGTGCTCGGCTCAAGTACACTTGCGCGGCATTCTATGGTTTACTGTTGCTGGTGCCGCTGTTGCTGGTTTAATTGTTTTTCATATGCTTAGCTCCGCTTTGGCAATGACACACATTTCAATGGCTTAATCGCTTTGACCGTATTTGTCAGCCGTATTGCCAAGAAACCAACAAACTGCGCGCATTAACCATATCAATGTCTATTCTATTAATTTTGATCTCTCTCCTTCTCTCTCTCTCTCTGTCTTTGCAGTTAGTCACCATCGCTGCTCTGTGCCTGTGTCTGGCTTTTGCTGCTGGCCAACAATACTTTCTAGGACAGTTCCCTAGCCGTTCCCGCTTTGCCTTCGATCCTCTGGCGCTGGCACAGCCCTCAGCGCCCCAGGTGCGCGATCCCCGCCAGAACAGAGGTAAGTTTGTCCTGATAGAAATATTTAAGTTGCTACCACCAAAATACAGTTGAACTTCTCTAAAACCAGAGAGAACTTCGGGGACAAAATAGGACTACTCAGCACAGCAATAAGTTTCATATCCAAAAATACTAAAATTGAATCAAATTCGGATAATTTGAAAAGTTAAAAATCAAATCAAAATGGTTTTCCTTAAAATTTCAATAACTATCTTATTGTAACCTAAAGAAAATTTTTTTTTCTCAAGTTATAATCTTAATCGCTTAAGTTAGTTATACTTTTTCATACATTCTGATATTTTCTATATTTGTGAATTATAATTGTTCTTGATTTTGCAGGACCCGTTGTGTTCCCACCCTCGCCTCCGGATGCAATTGAGGAGTCAAGCGGTGTTGTTGTTGGCGCCTCTGGTTTCGGTTTTGTGCCACCACAGCAAAGTAATACATTCAAACGCACGGTCTAAACAAAAATAGAACCTAGGCCATTCTCAAGTCACATGCACATATACTCACACTCACACACACACAGACACTAACATATAAAGCTTTATTAGTGCAATTAAAGTAGTGTTTAAATATGAAGTCTTGTTTAGCTTATGCAGTTGTTAATGTATTTTAATTGTTTAATTATTGTCTTTTAATTTACCCTCCAACCCACGTCCAACTCACAGGCACAATATTTGGTTAACTGCACACACACAAGCACACAGCCATAAGCACAAGCACAAGCACACACACAACCCCACACACACAGACACACACACACACACACACACATATGCATATGCATACTGCACTCTGTATTGTCAATGCCAAATGCAGCGCCGGAAACAGAAATGTCCATCACCGTAAATCGCAATCCAATTCCTAATTAAGCACCCAAGCAGTTCCACAATCCGCTCCAATCCCAGGCCATCCTATCCTACACCCCATCCCCAACCCACACACACACATACACACACCCATAAACACCCACGCACACGCTCAGCGCACAAGCTAACATTACAAACAAAAAATAATAATAATAATGTGTAATAATTAAATTGTTTATTAGGTATTATTTAGTTGAATTATTGTTATCTAATTGCAAACCCATCAATTTAAATATTATTATTCTGCTTTTTTATTTATATTTGTATGTTCTTCTTATTTTATTTTATTTTGTCCGATTTTATATAATTTTAATTTTCACCTTTGGAGCATTTACATTTTGATTTAATTTTATTTGTAATTCGAAATTTTTATATTTTTCGTTGAAAACCATCTAAATTATAAATAAACAAAACTATTTTACCAAAACCAAAATGCACATCAAACTTTATTTTTCACATATCTTAGACAATTTCAGAAATTTTACATTTTGATTTTATTTTATTTGTAAATCGAAATTTTTTATTTTTAGTTGAACACAATCTAAATTTTAAATAAACAAAAACTATTTTACCAAAAACCAGAATGCACATCAAACTTTATTTTCACAATTTTTATTTTTGTCATCATTTGGCCAGCCAACACTCGACTTGTTTTCAATAATTCTTTTGTAGTTTGTGGTTTTTATTGTTTTTCTTTTTGTTTTGTACATGCAAATGCACCACTTTGGTTTTTTGTTGATATTATCGTACGTTTTTCATGATTTCTTGTAGCAATTATTGTAAGTGCACACAAAAGAAACGTCAAATTAACAAAGTCAGCTTTGAAGTTCAGCGACACAAATCGGTTGTAAACCGAGATAAATGTAACGACGTGGGCCACACTCTTTAATCCTCACTCATCACTCATCGGCTTTAGCTTTCGAGTGGGCACAAGATTGTAAGGTACTCAAAAGAGATATTGTGGAAGTAGAGGAGAGTAGAGCACTTCAAAAGAGAAAGAAACATGGATATTAAGTATTCATCGAAAGCTGCTGTTGAAATCTGGCGAAACAAGTGTATTTGGGGTTATCTTTTGCATCCACCGATCTACCAATCACCATATTAATGATTTTTCCGCATTACTTTTAGGTTTAAAGCTTACCAATCGGTTCAAAGTCTTTCAACTCATTTAAAATTTAAGTCAACCCGATATAAACCGTTTAGTTATGGCTCAAACTGGTTTACGAAAGTAAATTTTATATTTATGTTTATTCGACGACAAATTTAATATTTTAGCATTTAGTTTTACATTCCAAGCTGTTTTTAAACACAGCTAAATCGTTTTAAAATTGTTTAATGCTATTGCAAAGTAGTAATCAAGTCAGTCTCAAAAACCCATATTATATCGACATGGCAACAAGTATTATTCACTTTTAATTGGCCCGCACTTTGTATAGTTGAGCTACATGACAAACAAATCATTCAAACTATTCAACCTATGCCATTTACTATCGTTTTATAAAATTGTTACCAAACTAACCATACAAAATCTCTCCTTATCACCTACGGATAAAACTGTGGCCAATAACCAAACACACCTTCTGCATTCTCCTTTTATTAATTGCGAACTTAGCTCTCTCCACTCAAAAAATTTGACTATCGCCTGGGCATGCCAGTCAGCTTATGATGATTAAAGTACCGCATTGGAAAAGGCAACAAGCGGCTATAAAAAATGAAACAAAAACAAAATAGTGATCAACAATTTTAACGACAAGCAAATGTGTTGGCCCCAAGCAACAGGTGCTGCAGCAGCAGTCAAGACTTGAGCCGCATATGGTTATAAATGCTGCCTGTCTATGAGCTCAATGAGCACACACACAATCAGGCATTTACATAGTCTATGTGGATTTTGAGGGAGATAGATAGGACAGGGAGAAAGAGAGGAGGGGTGGGGGACCAGTGAAACTAATGCTTTGCAAAATATGTTTGTAGTTTGTATTTTTACTTTTGTTTTTCTTCATGTATACCCTGCAAACTAATACAATTATTTTGAAGGGGCATGTGCATGCTTGGAGTGAGTATGCTGTAAACCTTTAGTTAAAGGTATCTTGCAGTCGAGCAGCTTTGATTAAAGCAGTCTTACTTGCTTTTCTTTGTTTTTGGTATTGTTTCTCTTTTTTTGCATATCGAACGAAAAATGGAGCAAATTTTTTTGGTTTCTTTTTTGGTTGTATTATTGTTTGCTGAGCCTAGTAACACAAAAAAGCAGCCAATAGGCCAATAAGCTAGAGGACTTGGACTTACTTAGTACACAAATGCATGGAAAGACATTTCACAATGAACAAGCGAAAAACGAATAAATGAAAAAACAAACGACACTAAGTTGAGATAATTTTTACAATTTGACAATTTATGCACGATTGGCGACTGCTTGGCTGGTAGCCTGGTTACCTGGCTGCCATGGTAGCCGCATAACCGATACCATTTTGCCAGCCAGCAGCAGCCAAATGGCCATTGTGCAATTAATTTTTGCATGCCCAAAGTTCTCTGTACGAAACATTCACACACACACACAACAGCAACAACAACAACAAGTTACGCAGCGCAATGCTTCCCGATGAGGACTGCCTGTGGCTAGACGGCTGTGGAAAGTGCAACAAACGCGTTACTAGATTAATGGTCAACTGCAAAAGTCGCAATGGTGGCACAAACAACAGTTGCAACCGCAGCGAATGCGAGCAATTTGCCAGCCACCCCCACTAATAAAAATATATACACCAGGAAAACAAATTGAGATTATTTGCCTAAAGGAAAATTTGATTGATTTGATGAATTAATAGACATATTCAGGTGTACACGCAGATTTCCCCGGAGGTGGCTTTAATGCCACTGCAGAGGCAGATATATTCGACTCTATAGACATAAAAAAATCATATAATTTTGGGTAAAAACTTTTTATCTAAGTGTAGACAGCTTGCAGCGGTGTTCATGAAACAGGCATTCTACGCTGCTGGACACATGCCCGAGCAATTGACAAGCTGTGATTGACGAAGCGCTTAGCCTTCAACATGTGTCGGCTTTGGCCAGTTGACGCCCACACTTGGAATTTACCAGTTGGCAGCAGCAGCAGCAGTAAAAGTCACACCACTAATCTCAAGTGCACCCGCCCAAGCCTAACATTATTAATTGTAAATTGTTGTTGCAATCGCACTCGTAATTATGCCAAGTACAAAATGACCGCCAAAATCTAAATTGACAATGCTATTTGTTTCTTTCTGCTTTACCTGTTTCACTCTCTTCGCAGCGGTGGCAGCTGTGGCAGCGGCAGCCGGCGGTGTTGATCCAACGTATTTCAGCACAACATTTCAAACGCCCGACACATCGTATGCAACATTCAACTATTACAGCAGTCCATATAATACGCGATACACTTACTTCTGAGACTGGCTGGGAGTGGGAGTGGTGGGCTGGTCCCGAATCGAGTCCAGGAGACGAGGCGAGTCGAGTCGAGTCGACGCAAGTCGAGTTGAGTTGAGTCGAGTCATGTGTAAGTAGTCAGTTAATGAGGCGCCTAGGAAAAATATATATCTAATGCTGTTGTAAATAAATATGTAAAATATGCAATTTGTGTTTAACTTGTGTGTGCGTCGAGTGGGCAACAAAATACCCACAAATCTATTGCCGTTGGCTGTTTGCAATTGTTTAAGTATGCACAACAAACGAAAGACTCAGGAAACGAACTTGAATGCGCGCAAGCGTTAAGCAAACAAATCAGCTGAGTTATCACTGCACTGTGATGTTTACTGTTGCGTCTACACTCACAGAAAAATATATAATCTTAATTTTAGAAAATAAATGAGTTGTCTTTGCTTGCAAAAAACAAGCACTTAAATTAAGGATAGTAGTTTTTAGAAAATGTAATTCTAAAATTAATGGTTATCATTTGTAAATTTTAATCTCGATTTTTCTAAAACCTAACCACAATATTCAGAATTGATTAATTATATTAAGCTAAATTTGTAATAATATTGTTTTGGAGATTTATGATATTTTATAAATAAATAGTAATTAAAATTGGTTTTAGTAAATATAAAAATGAACTTTATGTACATACTTCAAAGTTTTAAAATCTGGCGATCTGTTCGATTTAAATTCTAGGATATACGATGTGAGAGTGTACTACTTGAGCATTTGTTTTTGTTACGTATTGCATAATTAGAAGCTTGTAATATAGATGCAATTGAATCAATGCGATGCTTATCGTTGGCCAAGCGGCAACGGCACTAGTTAAAACTATATAGCTCAGTTCGGGGGCTGAGGCTGTGGCTGTGGCTGGGGCTTGCCATTGAAGTGTGAACCGAATATGCGTGATCGTTATGTATGGCTATGGGCTTTGGAATGTTTATTTGTTTGTTTGTTGTTTTTGCTGCTGCTGCTGCTGTTGATTTTGCACTGCGAATTGCAAGAAATCTGTGCAAGCGTTTGCCTTTGCATTTTGCGACAGAGTGACATGCCGCAGCGCACAATTGCATGCTGTCGTTCGTTATTGTTGCAGTTGTTGCTGTTGCTTTTGCTTTTGCTGTTTGCCATTGTATGTTAAATTACGTAGACGCCTATTATAGGCCAAGCCGGTGTGCCCGCGGTGTTAATTTCCATTGACACTGAGACTGGGACACACAGCAGCAGTGGCAAACGGCAAATAAAGCCCCTAATTTTTATTATATTTCTTTATTAATGCGAGAAGTTGCAGTGCAGTGCGACGAAATATCATAGAAAAAATGAGGTACAATTCTCGGGCACACAATTGCACAACAATGCAATGCAAAGCCAAGCAACAAAGCCTTCGCAGATCATTAGCAGTGGTGGTAGTGCAGACGGCATGATTCACAGCACCACCAACTGCAACAGCGACAGCAACTGCAAAAAAAAATTGCTACCAAAACGCGACGAATCAACAAAAAATGTAGATGTTTGCCCCGGACTTGTCATAATTTGTATTAAGTGCAAGTAAAATCGACAAAAGGCCAATCGCAATCAACGATTGCCAATTGGCAGGCATCGCGGCGTTGATAACCTTGTTGACCACAAGAATTTTTAAAGCAATGACAACTTGCTGAACGCTTGAGTGCAAGCTCAATTTATGTGTTGTCGCCGCGGGCGATAATTGAAACCATAACCGTGTCCCACGTACATTTTATACTTTTTATATGGTCGCAACAGCAAAGTTTGAACATCAGAACAATCAGCCCTACTCAGTTTCTTTCTCAGTTTCAAATCGTTAGCTTCGCCCGGTTTTTAATTAGCTTGGCTACATGACTCACAATTCGTCAGCAAACACAAACACATACACACACACAGACCTTTCTGGGAGTTTCGTCTGGTAAATCCTGTGCAGCAGTCACGTAGACCAAAACCCATGCTGACCTTCAGAACATTTGCCTTAATTGATTTGTATTTGAGTTCCGGTTTGCTCGCCGATTAGTAAATACCAATAAGATTAAAGACCCTTTCGAAATAAGCTCCATAATTCTTTTATTCAATTAATATGAATTAAATTGTCTGTTTTAATTGTTATCCAACTGGTTGCCTTTCTAAACCAAAAATACTGGTTTGTTTGCTCTAAGCGGATATTCAAAAAATCGTTACTATATCAGGTCGATGTAAATCAACAGTTAACTTGACAATTTATCGATATTCATGTGGTTCACTTATAAATAAGTTGGCAGCCTCTGAGAACAATAATCGGCCTGCCTCCACACTTCACATACGGTAGGCGAATTTTCTAGACCAATGCAGTTGCAAATATTTGTAAAATAAGAAGGACAACCATGCTGCAATGTTACAATAGAGGTTGTGGCCAGCGCTTCGATCCCGCCACCAATTCGGATGGTACATTAAATACCGAAACAAGAACATAGACGACAACACAACATTCATTGTTTTACTTTGCGCACAGATTCTTGCCGGCATCATCCGGGTACTCCGTTCTTCCATGACGCCTACAAGGGCTGGTCATGCTGCAGTAAAAAGTCGGTGGATTTCACAGAATTTCTGAACATCAAAGGCTGCACCTTGGCCAAACACTCCAATATTAAACCTGTCGAGCCGGAGAAGCCGGTCAAAGACGATAAGGAGGACAGCGAGCCGGTGGAAGTTGAAGTGCGTGCTCCCATAAAGCAAGCGCTGCCAAGACCAGCCATAGAAACGCCATTTACTGTTCTGCAACCAACAGTGGCTCCTGCCTTAAAGGAATCCATTGATGCATTGAAAAGCAGACCAACTGCTGCGCCCGCAGCAACTGAAGCTAGCGAAGAGTAACTAAAATTATCTATTTAATTTTTTGATTTGAAAATCTATTGACACATATTTTTTTGCCACAGTGGCATTGCTGTGGGCACCAACTGCAAAAACATTGGCTGCACATACTCCTACACGAACACGAGCAGCGACTACGGCGAGTGCACCCATCATCCTGGCGTACCCATATTTCATGAAGGCCTAAAGTTTTGGTCGTGTTGCCAGAAGCGTACCTCGGATTTTGCACAATTTATGGCCCAAAAGGGCTGTGTTTATGGTCAACATAAATTTGTTAAAAATGTAAGTGGCAACAATGACATGAATAAGATGTACATACTTATCTATTGATGCATGACAGGAGGAGGATAAAAATGTTGTCACATGCCGCTACGATTGGCATCAGACGGCCACAAATGTGGTTGTCGCAGTCTATGCCAAAAAATATCATTACGCCCAAAGCGTGCTGGAAGTGAATCCGATTCGTCTGCACATAATGCTGGTATTTCCAGAGCAGGAAAATGCCAAGTTCAACTTGGACCTAGAACTGCGTGGTGTAAGCTTATTTTAATTGTTTGAATCAGAAGTCGAATTTTAAATAACGCTTACATTATTTATGCATAGATTATCAATGTACAAAAGGCTTCGGCACAAATGTTTGCTACCAAGGTTGAGATAACGCTACCAAAGCTAGAGCCAGGCTCATGGTCAAATCTTAGTTTTCCACGAGAACGACTGCCAGCTGCAGTAAAAACTTCTGCTGCATGCAAGCCAAATGAAGATGGAAGTGATGACGAGTTCTTCGATCTGGACGACATTGAACTTGTTCAGCGCCATGGAATTAAGTTATCCGAAATGAGTATGCAAAAGCCAAATGGATTGGATTAATTTAATAGCAAAACTAGCATTTTATTTAAAACACCAAGTGGAGGCCTCACTGTGTGCTGAGCGCTGTTTTTGTTCGCAATAAACACAAGAATGCCTTATAGAAAGTTTATTGTAATATCGCAGAATGCCGCCTAATCATCGTCATCGGCGCCGGGCACCCAATCCTCATCGTCGTCGTCATCATCCAAATCCAGTTCACCAATATCTTGGAACAATGTTTCATCGATTTTAACATTCTCGATATTCTCACCGGCCTCCAGCAGAAACTTGATGTCCGAATCGTTCAATGTGTTATCGCACATAAACAGCTCCCTGCCCGTCAGCTTCTTACAATCATTGTTCTTTTCCCGTTTGGCAGTAATGCCCGTGCTCTCCTCGAACTCCAGTTTCCATTTCATAAATGTCTCGACAGTCACCCGCGTGCCTTCGAATTTCTTGCGTTCCGCCTCCTCGACCTCTTGCACCTTGCGCGCACGTTCGTCCTCCTGATGCTTCTTGTGCTCGTCCCATTGCACATTCAACCATTCCTGGGCACTGCTCACCAGCGAGAATATCATCTCCATGCCAATGTTCTCCTCAATTGTAAGACGTAGCTGCTCGAGCAGTTGCGCTTCGAAATTGTCTTCAAAATTTTCGGCATCCTCGATTTCTACCAGCGGTGCTTCATCTGGATATTTGGCTGTGTATGTGAACACCAGTTTGCAGGCTAAACCCTTTTCGCCGTCCTCCGCTGAATCAGCGTAGTACTCCTCTGTCGCAATCGGAATTTGAAATTTGTGGAAAGGCTCTGTTTCTAGGACTGCAAGGGACAAGTTGATTTTGGCAATTAAGTGTTTGGTATTGGACGAGACGAGATGAGACTAGCGAGTTACCGTCCATTTCTCCACAATATATGGAGTCGAGAGCTTCTATCTCACTGCTCTGGTCTTCTTTGTAGTTCCGGCTCATTGTGGAATTTTCTAACTAGTTTACAAAATAATAATAAAAATGTCAGCGATGCCGTGTTTGCCTCCGGTATCGCTTTGAGGTTATTTGTTAGGGTGACCTAGCAACGATCAGACGGTATGATGCCACATATCAACAAACTAAGTCAAAGCATTCGATTTATATTATAGATATGTATTATGCATATATATATTATAATAAGCAAAAACAAATTTATACACACAGACTTACACAGTGGAAATTAATAAAAACGCATGTATGTCATTCAGCTTGGGCATGTCAGGCGCGCAATTGGGCGTTGCCACTTCGTAAATAAACACAGGGCTGCCATACATCACATACGTTATTTTCAAACCACTTTTGAGCGATGTTATGATAGGTTAACCTCTCCTTAAAAAATATAATACATATATAATTGTTGCTTAATCTTAGATGAGATAAAAATACATCCTGGCCCCCCTAACTTCACGCATCCCTTGAAAACCAGCAGATGCAAAGTTAGAGCCCTGTTATTAAGAATATAGACAAAAATACGCAGATTAAGTACTAATATTGTAATAATTATAATGAATTAATTGTATTGAAATGTGTTCTCATAAGAAATAAATTATAAACAAAATACGAATAAGAACAGTCGTCCTGCAACAGATTTTTGTAAGCCATTTTGAAATTAATGCTCTGGTGCTTCCAATCTGAAAATACAAATAAAAAATGTTGCAAGTAAGCTAAACAATTACAAAAAAGGCGCTAAGTATACTTACTTATGAACTGTTATTAAATTGCTCGCATCGATTTTAGTATCCTGGGGTGTAAGAAAACAATACTGCCGGTTTTGATAGTCCGTGCCCTCTTTAATTAGCATTTTCGTAATAAAAGTCCTGTTCACCTCATCCTAGAAGTCGTCAATATTAAAATATATGAAAATCAACCAAGAAGTTCCTTAAACTTACAGTAAAGACGTCATATTCATCTAAGAAATAAAATGGATGATCGGAAATACTCCAAAGACCTTTCAATAGAGACACAGTGGTGAATGACCTCTCGCCACCGGACAAACTTTTCGTATTTGAAGTCTTATTGGCACCTGGTGGGTAAACACTGATCTTTAACGTCTTCTCCTTATGATTGGGCTCCATCTCGCCTTCAAATTGGCGACAGGCGAGCGCTCGCTGCGTATTTGTAAAACAAAAAATAAACGTATTAAATAAAAAAAAGGAAAACACAAATGTTAAGAATTTACCTTAAATTCAAATGCAATCATGCTAAAGAAATGATATCGTGAGCGAATAAACTTCTGTGCCCCAGCATGATATGAAATTCGCAATTTGTTCACAATACTTAAAATACTATCCAACTTCTCGGTTTCTGTTTTCAGACTATCACGCAATGAGGTCAACTTTTTTTGAACCTCGTCGTAGTTCAAATTCATCGACTCATAATGTCTTATTTTAACTTTGTAGCGAGTGATTTTATCGCGTATCGCCTCTTTAGATTTTTGTGTGGCGATAAAATCACCAGATTCTTGTGCGGTCTGCCGCTCATTTTCCAGCTCTTTTTCCAAATCCTTTTTATCTTTGAGCATTGTAGTGAGAAGATCGTTGGTTTGCTTAAAAAGTCTTTGGTTTTCCACAAAATGACGATCCAAATCACTCAATTTTTTTTGTACTTCTTTGATCGCCGTTTCAACATCTCGGGCCTTATTTTTAATTGCGTCGATAATCTTTTCTTCGCTTTTAGCCTCTTCTTCAGTACGAGCCTTACGCTCGTTAAGATCACGCAGTTGATTTTGCAAAACTTCACGCTCCGCTTTACATTTCTCAATTTTCTCACTGCTGCTGGTTAAGTGAGTTTCCTATATTAATAGCAGAAAAGCAGGAGAATATTAAGTGATTTCCATTGGAGGAGCGGGTGGCTAAAAGAATTGACCCAACTTACCAACACGACTAAAGCGGGTAATTCCCGATATTCTAAATTCTCGATATCCATAATTTTTTGCAACGCTTTTGTGTTTGCAGTATGTTGGGCGTTGATCATATCATTTTTGGTGCTTATCTCCTGACTGACAATGTCCAGCTTGTGTTTAGCATTCGCATATTGTGGCTGTATAGTTGCCCCACGCTCCTTCAGACTGTTCTGCTCCGACTGCAGTTGTCGAATGCGGTCATCCACATTAACCTGAATGTAGCGAGCGGATGTGATTTTAACTGAGTACATGGCATAGTTGGGCGATGGACAATACTCTAGCCCCAAATCGGGCACCAGTATTCGTGTCAAATGGGGCGGCACATTTTCCGAGTTCGATGTAAGAGCTTCTGCCGTCTCCTTGGAATCGGTCACCAACACCGTCTCAATGCGCATCGTATCAATAAGATAGTTCATAACGACAGGATCATCACAGCTGCAATTAAAAGCGAACGGATCAAATTAAAGTTCAATTTTTGTGCCCCCAATAAAACTCACCTTATTAAATCCATTAGCACAGCTGTATTTGATGATCTGGATTGCACCTTGTACTTGGATACATTGTAAACCTGATTCGTAAACGCACTGGTTATGATCGTAGGTATATTGCGACCCAAATATGATTTTTGTAGCAGAGCTCTCAATGATATTCGCTCCTTATCTGTGCTAACAATGTACGAGCGCAGGCAGTTGAACAACTGATTCTCTACGAGATCTCGATACTTGGGATTGGGTACCGTTATGTACATACCGATGGGTCCACGCGGCATATTGGAAGCATTACTCCCACTGTACTGAACACTCAGAGCATTGGATACTTGCATCGCTTGCTCACCATATACTGACATTTTGTTAGACTTATTTCTTAACAGAGATTCCATTTCCCATTGCAGGTTCTCTGAATGAATGAATTTAAACGTGGAACTCATTATTGTGCTTTGTGATCACTTAAAGGCATTTTTTCTTACGCTCCGATTTACGCAGTTTGCTCAGCTCATTCTTAATGGACTCCACTCGCTCCTTGGTAGCTGGCAGCTGATTCTTTATGTCGTTCTGTTCGTCCCTTAACTTGGAAATCAGTTCCTTACCCTCGGACACAGTCTGCTTGAGAGTCGCGAGTGCGGCAGCATTCTCTTCTCGAAGCCTTTTAAATTCAGAATAGTCGGCATGGTAGTTTTTCATATGACTTTGACAGCCTTCGTATGTGGTTTGCTCCTCCTTTAGCCGTCTCTCCGCATTCTTTATGCCAGCCATTGTTGAACTAATTGTAAAATGACACTCTTGAATAGTTCGTTTGACGGCCCTCAACTTCACGTCTTGCTCTTGGTAACTTTCCATGATCCGCGACTTGATTTCGTTTAACTTTCTATGAGTACGGATAGTTTGAACATATAGTTAAGCATCAGTTAATTGACTGACATACTTTAGCTCATCGGATAATGTCTGCTTCGTGCAGTCCTTTTGTGTTGTCTTCTGTGATAGGTCAGCGTTTTTCGTCTCAACTATTTTCAGTGTGTGCTCCTTTTTAGAGAGATTATCCTGAATTTGGGACACTTTTCGCCAAGCCAGCATGGTCATAGCCTCTTTCAATTGAGTCTAAATATATGACAATTGAATGTACTTATTTATTTTTCACAAGAAAAAAATATCGCCTTACCTTAATTGCATCTTCATTCTTTATAATGGCCAACTTTTCCTCTTCTTCGTGGTACTTTTGCTTCAGCTTATCATTTTTCTGTCACAAAAAAAAAAATATATATATATATATAAATATAAGAATTGAATTATTGAACATATCTCTTACCATTTTGATAAGATTGAGATTATAATTAAATAGTTGACCCATCTCATGACAGGAATTTAAGCTGGCCGCACATAAATCCAGCTGCGTTGCCTTCATCAGCAATCTATAGTTTGAGCCTGGTTCAAGTCTATTTTAATTAAATTTATTGAAAATAAGTTTAAAATTGTATTAAAAAAGCGATCTGCACTCACTCCTTAAGAAATTCACGAGAAGCTTCCTGATTGAGCACAAAGATCGGATTCTCCACCATAATGGTAAAGAAGAGAAGCATACGCCGTATTTCATCCAGTTTCTTGGACACGGTCCTCCTATGAGCGTCTCTCAACTCATATGCGGATGACGATTGACGGATGTGGCGAACGACCGTAATCTGCGGCCCATAAGTGTCAAAATTGAATGGTCGAGAGCCCGTATTGCAAAGTGTTAACTCAATAGTTGCACTTGTCTCTCCATTCTTAATTAGCACTTGCAAGAAAGAAAGAGAAAAAAACAAAAAAAAATATTTTTGATGCTAGATGCATGGTAGGGTTTAACCTACTCCGTATGCTGCTCGCTCGACTCGTGTTCCGCGCGCTGCCGGCCAGTCCCAAGGCTAGCGCCGTGATCACCGCACTTTTGCCGCTTCCATTGCTGCCAACAAGAAAATTTATATTCGGCCCAAATTCAATAAACAAATTCGAATGGCACATGAAGTTTTTTAAACGTATCGACATTAACTTTCCACAGCGGTGAAATGGGCTCTGAACCCTCAATCCAATCTGCAAATAAATTTAAGTTAAATTGTTTTATATTGTTTTATATATCGAATGTAAATTGATTTACCGTGGGATTTTCACTAGTAACAATTGCGTGCCGACAAACTGCGCGGGAAGTGGTTGACTCCATCTGTATTTCATCATTTCTGGTCGTTTCGGAACTTCGCTTGGATCTCTTGTTTTTAGGCGGCGAAGGTGAATCCTCTGAATCACTGCCAGACTCTGTTGAAGCTTGTTTTCTTCGAGCTCTTCCGCGACCCATCTTTGGTTACTATAATCACAAAAGCAAAAAAAAAATATATATGTTTTGCAAGTACACACAAAAAATGCGCGGGCAACTCCGTTAACCACATAGGATGAGTAGTTTTCTGTTGTCACATGCTACGTTGCCATTATTTATGTAGTTTATTTACTTACATTATTTTTACTTAAGCTTATATCGGTTGTAATCTGTGCGTATTAAATGCGTACTTTTTATTTTAATTTGCGAATTCCACCAAATAACGCAATTTGTGGCATTGCATCAATTCCGCCATGTAAGTGTGACCAAGTTTTAATATGCTGATAATGCGCAAAGTGGGTTTGGTTTCTGCAATTAGCACGACAATTTTTGGCGCGTAATTTCAGAGCAAGACATTGGCAAAACAATACAAATATCAATATTCTGACAAAGTGACGAACAGATATGGCCATATCGAATCGGCTGATTCTGATCAAGAATATATACATATACACGCCTTCAATGTGTTGCAAGGGTATAAATACTAAAATAATAAAATACCAAGTACTTGAAAAATACTGCGACCGACTGCTACCCAAATATCGCACATCATCATTAATAGCATGCTGTGTGACATCCCTAAAACTGCGTTCAAGTTTCGGTATTCCCATCATATTTGTACTATCTGCCTAGGTAACGCATCACAATGTCTGACTCGGATGATGATTGGTTCAAAAAGGACGAAAACGAGCTTCTGCAAAATCTGGAGCAACAGGTGAAACAACAAGTGGCTAGTGAGACGAAGGAGGAGCACATTGAATTCTACATCCGGGCAGGTAAGTAGACATATAATAATCTTAATAATTAAACATATAGAAGCTAACTGAGTATGCCAACAGATCATAATCGCGTGGAATGTAGTCTAGAATCCAGCGATGCCAGCAATGCGTCGGGTCGGTTTAACATTTGCGAGTTTGCAAATGCCCTGAAAATGACGCCTCTGGAGATGTTTCTGTATTTTATGACTGAAAATCGTGATCTCTTTAAGGATCAGTTGCCCGCCAAATATTCGCAGAGGCGGGTTTCGTTGTATGTGCAGATCCTAACCGTGCTGGGCCAATTGGAATTGGGCGGTTTCAATGAGGAGCTGCTCGCTGCGTTTGCCAAGCAAACTGTGCTGCTGTGCCACGTGAAGAACTTTGCCGACCGACTCTTTGAGCCGCCGTCTAAGGGTAACCTGGATGAAATCTCCGAACTGCTGTTGCGCAACATAAAGTGGTTACTAATACGCGCACACAAGCTCGGCGTTCTGGAGGAGACCGGCTACGAACTTATCGAGCATTTCAAAATGCTGCTCGCCCGCAGCCAGTTGCCTGAGTTATTGAAGCAACCGGTGTGCATTGAATTTGCCCAGGAACTTGCGGTGCTGCCAACCGTTCAACTACATGTGAAACACGAGATCTATCCCAAGCTAGACGATTTACGGGGATCCGAGACGAATGCTGTGATGTCTTTGCCTGCCGCAGCCGGCGATGTAGCGGGCTACATAAATTTGCAGCGTCAGCTGCTATGTGAAGCCTTTTTGCACCCATTGCGTGAATTCGTGCAACGTCTGCGTGCCCAAAGCTATGTCGATCCACAGATGGAGCAAAATCTCTTCTTACCACACGCGGAGCTCATACTAAATCCACAATTTTCCGAAGCGCAGAGGCATAGCTTGATATTCATGGACTTTATACCTACGGAACGCAAGGACAAAGTTAAATGTTATAAATTCAGCCCTTTGCAACGTGAACTCCTAAAGAACATTAAAACAGGCACTTTATTGTGCTTCACAAGCAGCTATGATTTTGACAATCTGATATTGGCCACCGTCGGATACACTGAAACCGAAATGCGTAAGCAGGGCTATGTAAGGCAATGTTAACTACGTCATACTACATATTTATAAGGATATTAAAAAACATGCTATTCTTGTTTTAGTTAAGCGTGGAGATTGCTAAGCAATACAATGTTGGTAATATCTATGGAAAACCACTGATAATGTTTGAGGCGCCTGTCTTCTTTGAGCCGTATCTGCGTGTGCACAATTATCTGAGCACATGCAGCGCTGATAACTTTCCCATGCGACGTTACATTATCGAAGGCCAGGTGAGTTGGAGGATAGCAGGATGTTTAATATTTATGTTATATATGTGTGCCATTCTGTGTTACAGCTTGAAATCCATCCGCCCGCCTACATCAGACCCGATGCTCAACTAACTTACAATGGCGTAAAGTTTATGGCTGCAGACCCTCCCAAAAAGACGCAACTTAATGATATGCAGCGAACGGCTTTGGGTGCTGCACTCTCTAATGAATTCTGTCTGATTCAAGGCCCGCCCGGCACAGGCAAGACTCATTTATCCATTGAACTTGTCAACACACTGCTGCAGAACGCCGACCACTTAAAATTGGGACCCATTATTGTGCTGACCTACTCGAATGAGTCGCTGGACAAGTTCCTGCTGAAGGCGGCCAAGCACACGGATAGCATTCTGCGGTTTGGCTACCAGACACGCCAGCCCGAAATCGAGCGATTTAATGTGCGCACAAAGATTGATGAAGAGCTGGTGCCACATCGTCTGAAGAGATTATGGTGGTTGGTGAAGTGCGAGTACAAGGAACAGTTTGAGCGATTGCAGACTCTGCATTCCAGCTTCGATGGCAGTGAGGAGTCCTATGTGGCCATACTATCGGGCCAGGAGCAATTGAATCTGATTGCAGAAAAAATAAACACTCTGCGCAACATATTTCAATACTATGTGGCAAGGGACAAATCATTGCTGGGCATGACCACATCGTGTGCGGCACGATTGAATTTTTTGTTTCGCTTGCTGCAGAGCAAATGTTTCATCTTTGAGGAGGCCGCCGAGACACCTGAGGCGCATGTGCTGGCCTGCCTAACGCCGTACACGCAACACGTCATACTCATTGGTGATCACAAGCAGCTGCAGCCGCATACGGGCAGACATCATATGCAGCAGGGATTGCAAATTTCGCTCTTTGAGCGTCTGATTACGAATCAATTTCCCGCAACGGTGCTCAATGTACAATATCGCATGCGCAAGTGTATTGCCGAGTTGCTGGTGCCGATCTTCTATGATGAACTGAGCAGCGACAACTCTGTGTTGGAATATCCCGATGTGCCCAACATGACATCAAATATGTACTTTGTCAATCACAAGCATCCCGAGGAGCAACTGGTAGATAAAATCTTCTTTTGTAAATCTATCAGCTTCTTTTATTTGTAATTTACAGAGTGACATGTCTTTCGTGAACAAGCACGAAGCTGTGGAGTTGATCAATCTATTATTATACTTGAAGGCGAAGCCAAGCGACATTGTCATCCTATCGCCCTACAATGCCCAAGTCGAGTATATTAAATCAATTCTGCCAAGTCGGCGATTATACTGTGTGGCAAGTGTGGACAGCTATCAGGGCTTGGAGGCCGACATTGTGCTCTTGTCGCTGGTGCGCAGCAATTCGGCTGGTCAAATTGGTTTTCTGCGCCAGTTGAATCGTGTCTGTGTTGCATTGTCACGTGCTCGTTGCGCACTCTATATGATTGGCAACATGGAGACGCTGCAACGAGGCAATCAACAACTTTGGGGTGCCATCAATAGCAAACTGCAAGCGGCGAATGCGATAGGTACGGCATTCCCATGCATCACTGTGCCGAAGAAAGTGGTCAAAATGTCTAAAAAGTAACAATTATTTGTCATAAATAAAATGTTTTTTTTTTTTTTTTTTTTTTTTGTATCTTCAAATGTTTGTTTTTTAATCTAAACGCACAGGTTTTTGAATGAGTTTTCTTTCTGTGATCAAAGTTTGCCGCAAGACGAATGAAAATCATGAATTTGTTTGTCTTTGTTATTTTCAGTAATGTATACACTGAAAATTGATTGAACTTTGTTGTTCTCAAACCGATATTTATCTTAATGCACATTACTTTTGTTGGATTGCTATTGCTACTTTAAATATGGTATTATGTAATTAAAAATTGTACGTGTGCTGCACAGTATTTGTTTGGTGTTTATCTTTGATTATATGACGATAGTAGATACTGCATTAATGACAACATTTCGAATCTATTGATGCGCAATACACTGTATTATACATATTTATATATAATATATATATTTTTTGTTTTGTTTGTCCAGTCAACTCGCTCTTTTGTCTACATCTATTTTAGACCCTTATTGTAATTCTTAGTTCGAATTTGCAGACTTTGTAACTTTATAAACATCTGAAGTGGGATGGCACCTGATGTGTCCAAACATTTGATCAGCCTGCTTACTTAGTATAGTATATATATATATATATATATAGTATGTATGCATGAGATTGAATGTACATTATGTTTGAGAACGCAGCTCTACAACAACTATGTATGTATTGTAAGTACTATGTATTTAAATGTGGTTACTCTCTCTCTTCATGTCAAAAATGTTTGTGGCCCAGTTATTTTTAGCGGTTTAAGGCAATTTTGAAAATCATCAATTTGTATTTTTAATCGGTTTTTGTAGTTTTTTGTATCTTTTTGTTTTTGTTTTTTTTTTCTCTTAATTTTTACACAATAGTTTTGCTTATGTTTTCTTTGCATTTTTTATACTTAGAAGTATCGTGTTTTTTGCTTATGATCTTGTTTGTTTTGTGTGTTGTGTGTTTTTATTTTTGTCAGCTTATGAAATATGCCACATTAGAATGTGGCTTACAAGTGATAGGTAAATCAATGTGTATTTATATAGTTTATTTGATGATAAAACTGAAATTAAAAATGATAAAATTAATAGAACGAAAAATGCGGCTTTGCGAGAGCAGCAATTATATTGTAGTATTGATTGTGTTGAGGATTATCCGCTGCACTGTGTGCGTGTCCATAATAGACCCGACCCGACCCGAACTATCTATATCTATACAGCACTATCGGATTGCGTTATCCACTGTAAGTCGCATTCTTAACGCTCGTTTGACGAGACAGTGCACAGATCAGCGGACCCTCCACAACTTCGTCATCTTAGAACTCATATGCGTGTGTGGTGTATGAGTTGTTTTTTTTGTGAGTGTGTGCATTGTGATTGAAATCAAGCCAGAATTAGAACTAAACTATAAGTTGAATTATTAATGAGTGGCGACCACGAGGTTGATGTATTGAGGTTGATGGTTGATGGTTGGTTGGTTGGTTGTTGGTTGGTCGAGCATTTGGGGGATTCATGTAAAGGGCTTTTGGGGCTCTTTTGGTGAGGTTGTGTTAATCGTTTGCGGTTTGCGTAATGTTCCATGGGGTGCGGCTTGACGCAGGTTGCTGCTGCTATTGCTATTGCTTCGGATATTATTGTTGTTGCTATTTTGATTATTGGTCTTGTTCCTATTATTGCCGCTGTTGCTGCGTCCCCGATATTTGAATGGCAGCGTGCTGCTGTTGGCGCCGCCACCTCCGCCGCCGCCAGCCGTTGCTGCTGTCCGAATTGTTGCCGTCGATGTTGTTGTTGCTGTTGCTGTCGTCACCATGGTCGATGATGGCCTACCGCGCCGAGTCTATTGCTACCGTCGATTTATTAGCCCATTGGGAGGCGCCTGCTGGCTGGCCGTATGCATCAGCTCCAGTTCAACCAGCAGCGGAAAATGATCGGATGGTATGTGCGGATGTGGACAGCCAACCACTTTATTTTCCCGCAGCCACTCCGTCGACACCGGCCCCAGCAGGCCCAGCGGCACCATGCCCGTCTTTGTGTAGAATATATAGTCGATGATGCCCTTGAAATCGAACGTATAGTTTGTGTGCGGCATAATGTCCTCGCTGTAGGCGGAGGCAAGCTTAAAGGAATGCGTAAACTCGTTGGTATCGTTGGACAGCAAGCGTTGCAGGCACAGCTTGTAGCCCATATCCTTGAAGTCCAAATGGTCCATTGCAACGCGGCCCTTGCCCAGAAACTCGACGACGCCCGAATCGGGCAGCGAATTGAAATCGCCACAGAGCAGCAGTTGCACACTATTCGAGTCGTTCTTGTGGCCCGGCCGAAAGCTGTGACTGGCCTCGTCAATGATCGTCTTTAGCTCGTTGCTCAGCATCATTGTCTGTATGAGTTTGACATCGCAGAATTCGGGATCCCAATGTATGTGGGCGGTGCACACGAGCAGCGGCTGTGAGATCTGTGTAACCTCAGACATTGGCTCCCAAGCCGTCTCTTTCACCTTCAACAGTGCGGCCAATCCAATGTTATCCTTCGGCATCACACGGTTCAGCATATTGTCCGAGCCCTCCGCATTGGCCATGGCCAGCTGATTAAATTCAATTAGATGCTCCTTAATCAGTGTGAATCTGCAATTACACAACATGTATAATAAATAGGAAGCGTTATATTATATTCGCGACTCACTTTGATGTTCGAAAGAATATCGCACAGCCATCAACATATTTGCGTTCCACCTCGGACATTGTCTTGGCGCGCGACTTGGGAGAGAAGATGCCCTCGTAGCCATCGTTCTTTAGTTCGGGCAGGAAAAAGTGATAGAACTGTTCCGTCTCGATCTCCTGCAAACTTATAATGTCAGCCGCATAATGGCGTATCTCATCGATAATTGACTTCTTTCGGTACTCCCAACACAGGGCCCACGATGGACAATAGCCGTACATTTGTCGCGTCGCATACTTGTCGCAGAGCACATTATAACACATAACCGTAAAAATGCCTAAAAAGTAAACACCGATTAAATCATTAACTTTTCCACATATTTCTCATATGACATATATGACATTTATGGGTTTGCCTAATTAGTTTAGTTTAGGAAGGAAGACAAAACCTAGCGAGCCACTAGAACCATCATTGCCTCGTTGAACTATTTCCATCATTTCATTATCTTTAGCAGCATGATTTTTTTTCATATAATAAATGAACTATGTAAAAATGCATCTGAGGCAGATATAATCAAATCTACTCAAACTATTTTTTCCTCATTTGATCAGCTCCTAGTATCTGTTCTAAAGATCTATGTTAAAATTCACCTGAGGCTGTTAGAACCAATTTTGGACAATCTACCCAAACTAGTTTCAAAAAAACACTTGGCTTGGATTATGCCTGATTAAACGCATGAACACATTAAGATGTGTGATATATTCTGAGCTCAAAAGTTCCTTATACGATTTATGCATTGATTTGTTAGTCAGTTAGTTTACTACTTACAGGCTGGTCGCGATTTGTTGGGCTTGGCGAGTGGCAGCCATGGTCTTTGGGGCGGTGGATTGACGGTAACTGTAATAGAAAAAACAACAAAACAAAAAGAGAGCAAACGTTAGTCGCATACGCAATGTGAAATGGGGGAAAAAGTTTATAGAGGCGATTATGAAATTAGCACCCGCACACACACACACATACACACATAGATACACACACACACACACATAGACAACACCCCACTGACACACTGCGGTCGCTGTTGCTGTTGTTGTTTGCCGTGATCTTTGTTGGCGCCAGCGGTGAAAGTGACATGCAAAAGCAATCGAATCGCTTCCGCCATTTTTTTAATCGCTTTTGCAACCTGTGTCTACCTGTGTTTCTCTGACTGTCGCCGACATGCGCCGCTGCTTGCGACTTTGGGTGTGGGTGTGGTGGGTGCGTATGCGAGTGTGGCAGGGTAACGACGCAGCGTGCCACTGCGCCGGCACCGCCGATCCTGTTATTAGCCGTTGCTGCTGTTGTCGTCAACGGATGCCCCACCAATGCTGAAGATGATGCTACTGCTGCTGCTGCTCCTGCTTACAACATTTTCTTTGGGGGGAAGTTGCCGTTATTTTTGCTATCGTTGCCAATTCTATTTGGCGCCGTTATGTGCTGTTCATCGGCTCAGCAGCTGATTGCGCGCGCTCTCTTCGCCGCTTAATCAACTCTCACGAACAACTTAGTTGTTGCTATTGTTGTTTTAACTTCCTCTTCTGCTTCTTGTTTTTGTCTTGTATTATTGTATATTTATCGCCCTTTTTGTTTTTTGTTTTTTTTTTTGGTTTATCAGTGTGTGCGTGTGTTTTTTTTCTTCTTCTTTGTTTTGCTTTGCTTTGGAAGACACTGCGATTGTTTTTCGTTTTTCGTATTTCGCTTTTCTGTTAATTTTGTGCAAATGACGGACGACGAGGCGACGACGAGGCGACGACGCTGAAAAACTTTCACTATTTTTTCTATTTTTAATAAATTTTGTGATTTTTCATAATTTGATTTTTTTCTCCTTTTTTGTTGTTGTTGTTTTTGCCGTTTTCTTTGTTACAAGTTAGAGTTGGGCGACTGCGTTTTGTTGTTTTATTGTTTTACGGCCTCTAATAAGCCACATGAACAAAGATTTGGTTGCATTTAAATTGTGCTGCAATATTTGTAAGCAGCTATATTTGCAACGAAATATTTAATAACGACAAAAAATAACGGTAAACTATGTTTTTTTTGTGTGTGTAGTGAAATGTAAATAGAAACTAGACAAAAAAAAACAAAAACAGAAAAAAATATCAATTGACAAAAGACTTAGACAACGAACTCAATGCCAACTATTTTAAACACACGATTTTGAGGTATATGAGAAGCAGAGAAGGGGCAGGGGAAGGGGAAGGAAAAGTGTCGAACAATTACGAAACTTTTACTTGGCACACTTGTGCGCCCACACCACAACCAAACACTAATAACAACCCCCTCCTCCCCCCTCAAAATACGGATGAGTAATTACCAAACAAAAAAAGAAACCGAAAAATAAAATGATTTTTATTTTTGTTAAAGATTAGTAGGAATTGAGTGTAAATTGTGGAACAAATACAAATCACTTGTCGCAGACATATGCACTACAAAACATTTCAAAAATAAACCAGCCGTGACATCTACTGAGGTGCCAAAAAACCAAAAAAAAAAACAGCAAATATGAAAGAAACTTTAACACAAACAATGCATCCGCTTTTTCTAAGAGTAGTCGTTTGTCTCATTTCTTAAAAGATTTAATATTTCTTTTATATATGCATAATATAAACAACAGAGCGATATGATCTTTTTTTTTTGCAAGGCAGCCCTTTCTACAACAATTTTTCATGGTCGTTGCCTGCTGCTGCATTCCAAAACAAAAGAAAATAATAAGAAGAGAGCAAAAAACTAAAAATAAAAATAACAAAAAACAAAAGTTCGAAAGGCAAAAACCCAAGTGAGCGTATCGAAAAAGAAAGTGAAATTCAAATTGAAATTTGGTGCGATTAACGACAGCAACACACCAGCACACACACACACACACACACACACACACACAAAGCCTGCTGCTCGCTGGCCCCCGCCTGCGACCCTCACTGAGTTGGTTGTTGTTGCTGGCTCAGACAACATTTCGTATGCACAACATGCGATGACGATGACGACGGCGACGACGACGTTGTTGTTGTTGTTGTTGTGGCCAATGAGGAGCAGGCTTGCTCTGAATAGAAAACAAAAGTCAACTCGCCACTTGCCACACTTTGAGCTGCAATTAGATAACCCGTTTCATTTGCACCACTTCTTTATGTGGCAGCAACGAACAACAGCAACAACAACAACTGCAAATGACTGCCAATGTTCAATGGCGTTGGCCGCCGCCTGATCGTTTGCTTTTGTCTCTTGCCGTTGTCACTGTCGATGCTACAACTAAAACCCAATCTTGCATTGAAATCATAATAATGAAACTGAATTTAAGGTGCACTCAACACATGTGTGCGTGCGTGTGCAGGCAAAACGCAATACACAAACCAGTTCAACAGCATTTTTCATGCACAAATATACAACAACAACAGCAACCACAACCACAACAACAACAACTACAGCAGCAGCAGCAACAAACTGCATCGAGGCTGTGCAGTCTCGAGTGTTAAGTGGCCCCACGGCAGCAACAATAACAACAACAACAATAACAACAACAACAACAACGACAACAGCAACAACGACAACAACTTGAGCAACGCACACGAGGGTCGTTTATTAAACAACAAGTTGAAATTAATTATTTTTAATTACACACTTGCCAAAATGTTGCAAGATATTTTAGATCAATTTCAACTTCATATTTTCGAGCAAAGCCAAGCCCGAAAATAATTATTTTGCTATGCTGACTATTTTCATACGCTTACAGACACATTTTGTTGACTATATTACTCGAGTATCTCTAAACTTAAGACAATACTTGAAAATCCCTAATTAATAATAGTCTTATATTAAATAAGAAAAATGTTATTCTTTTAATAATTTTCTTTTTAATATACATTCAAACTTGTTTATTTTGAAGTTATTGTATATATAGTGAAGGGAGTTTAGACTTTTTCGATCGATCGTCTCTAGAGCTATAGTCATATCAGAAGGAATTCATTAAGATGCTTCTACAACCCAAACCACAAATATTCCGTACATCGCTGACTGTCTGAAATCTGTAATTAAATGACCTTTTCAATAAGTATAAACTTGCCCTAGACTTAAATAAGATCTTGAGAAAAATCTCAGTTGTACGTATTAAGAGTGGATTGGATTGTATTAGTCAATTGGTGGTTTAGTTAAGGAGCACACCTCGTGCACTTGGTGGCCAACGACTAACTGAATTCGCTTGACTTCGAGTCTCTCTCAAAGACTCCTCAGACTGATGATGATGATGATGATGATGATCGTGAGCGCCATATGCATAGTCTAAAAAACAATAGTAGCAAATTTTGCTGCGTCACTTGGAAAATCAATTGAAATGTGCGCCAGAGTGCGCACCATGATTATGCAGACACGAACTATGGCTGTGAATGTGAATGTGGCTGTGGATGTGGATGTGCTGATGTGATGTGGTGCATGGTGGTTTACCAGTTACCCGTTTGCCCATTCGGTAGCTGGTTGTTTGGTGGTGCAACTGTGTCTCAGCCGGACGACGCATTGGCGTGGGCTTTCATTCGATAGCATCGCATCTTTGTAGGAGTCGTAGTCGCAGTTGTTGTTGCTGCTGTTGCTGCTACGTTTGCTGCATCTGCGTCTGGGGGCTCACGCGATGCTGCCACACGGTTTGGTTACGTTTATTATTATTTTATTTTATTTTTTCATTTTTATTTTTGCTGTCGCTGATCCACTTTCAGCTCTTTTGCGCGTACTTTCTCCCCCAATTGGAAAGCAAGCAGCGATGCTGTGCCGAGGCCTGAGACTCATAAACGGGGACCTGGCATTGACACAGCCAACCTGCTCCGTTGTCTCAAAAGGCCCCCCTCCCCCAGAAATTACTCCTTATGAGAGGGCCAACGTTTAAGATCACACAAAGAACAATTCGCAGCATGCCTCAGATATGAGCTGAAGGAATCAACAGAACTTCTACATAATAAAGCTAAGATCCGCATTACAGAAAATATAGAAAACTAGTCGAGGGAGCTCAATAGGAGCCCATCTGTTAAATGCATAGTATTCTTGTTTGTTCTTAGTGCAATTTTTACCGTTCATCAATAAAATGAAATAAATTTGATTAGCCTATGGCATACGAGAACTTATATTCCAAATTAGAAGTCTCTAGCTCTTATAATCTCTGAGATCGGCTAGCTCAAACAGACAGACAAACGGGCAAGGCTACATCGAGATTCGGCTGTTGACGCTGATCATGAATAAATATGTCTTATGAAGTGATAACTGCCTTTCTCAAGGCGTTGCTAAATACGCTTAACTAACTAAGAAATATATTTGAAGAGTCGAAAAAACTGTTTGCAATCCAAATGAAATTGAATTAAGTGTAAAGAAACAAGTTGCTTTTGCAACTTGCGCAACTTGTATTAATGCCCTCGTATGCATCTCTTGTACTTGTACCGAACAGACATGATTTGTATTGCATTAGCCGCTCTGCTCATTCAACTTTCTAATCATTTGCACTTCCTTTTACGCAACAACAACCTTGATAGGCCCCCTCCCCCTCCCCCTCCAAAGCACACTCAACACACGAAACACACAACACAAAACGAAAACGAAAACGGGCTGTGCGCCACTTCCGCACTAAATCAACAACAACGGCAACAACAGCAGCGGCAACAAAACAACACACAAAAGCTCACTCCACATAAACATTAATAATAATTTTATAATAATAATAATGAAATACGAAATGAGGCAGGTAAGAATGCCAAAGCACATGGGTGCTCGACTAGTAGATACTCTGCAAATCAAATTGAAAATAATACAATTGCAAAGCAGGAAGTTTGAAAGTTAAAAATTCATAATATAACTGAGCCAAAGATGGAGTATTTTAGAATGGGGATTTTAGC